AAGTAGTTTCCAAAAAGTTGCTTTTTTCCCCAAAAATGTCAACTTTGACCTCAATTCGCGACCCCTTAATATCAATATTTTTCAAAATCATTTTGCACACATTATTTTTTACGGGAATGGAACCAGAAAACTACCCGCACGCCTAAAAATTGGATAAAATAAATTTCACCCTATTGCTAAGTGCCACCCTAATATATATATATATATATATATATATATATATATATATATATATATATATATATATATATATATATATATATATATATATATATATATACATATATATATATATATATAGCCTTTACCAAAGTGGGCAGCACGACAAAACATTTTTTATTGACACGATGCCTTGCCTCATGCCTCGTGGCGCTCTTCGAAATGGGCGACTAGGTATGAGGTAGCCGCCAACCGGTCACTAAATCAGGTTTCGAAGTATAAGGACCGTTTTTCTCAAGAAAGTTTTGCCTGATTGTCACTTTTTGTGACGATAGCCTTTTGATGCAGAAAACGGGTGGGTGTCTTACTTATAAATTAATTGCATCCGCTTTACCTAATTTATACGAGCCTGGCCTTATAGTGCTCAATGCTCATGCCTCATATTCGTTTCAAAAGAGACTGAATTATCACAACCGTAACTGAATCATGATAATATAACACCTATTCATGAAATTGTTGAACCAGGTCTTCCATACTATTTAGAAAAAAATACTGCACGGCTTGTTCTATTGTGCGGGGATCGTTGGCTTGTGAACACAACACTCGTATTGGAGCATTGTCCGCAATGCCGTCGTCAGATAATAGAAATATCAGCTACCATTGCCTTTTTAATGCTACAAAACTAGCTTACTTGTGTACTGTCATAATGTGCCTGTGCCCGCACTCCTGTGTCTATATTATTATGAGAAGCTTGAAGTGATTTTTAGACACTTGGATGTGATCCGTTATCGTCGCTTTCACCAAATTTTTATTTAGCTGTCCTTTACTTACTAGGAATGTCTCAGCCGCGTCAAATGATTAAATGTACATTTGTGTTCGAAAGCAGCAAAAATAATATTTGAAGCTCTTATACGGCCGTCTTGATTTGAAGACTATTTTTCTGGACTTCGCTCAATAGCAGTAGCACTTTGTGTGTCAACTTTTCTTTGTATTACGCTTTGAACACACTTTTTATTTATTTCGGCTTTTTCAGATTGTATATGATCTCGGCATTATTGACATCTCAATCTACAGCGGCTGCTAGGCGTGATGACGGCAGTACTGGCACAGTATAGGCTATCTCAGCCATAAGTAAGTGGGGTATGCTGGGTTTTAATGGGTTATAACCTCTGTAATGCTTGGTTGCGACAAGCCTATATAAGGTTCTATATAGCCTTGAGAGTTGAGACAAGCTCAAGTTGAAGTTGCAGGAAGCTGTAAGTTGGACAGACAATGCTTTTTAAATTCAATCCATTTACAGTTAGAATGTCTGATTTTTAGCTTTTGATATCAATAAGAACATGATTTTTTGGGGGACATATTTGTCAGGTTATTTGTAATAGGCAAGGCCGGTGGTAATAATAGGTAGGTATCAATAAAAACATATAGGATACCTAGGCAAAGTTGGTGTAATACGACGTCATATAATAGGAGATGGTGAAGTTGCCTTTTGCACCTTGGGCTCCAAATTGAATAAAAACCACACTTCATAAGTTCATAGTTCATTGTCACAAACCATGTTATCACTTATCAGCCTAGTAAATTATTCATACTCATCATACAATTCTTTACTCTTTAAAAACAGTTACCTACACTCTACAGTCTAGTTCTACACAATAAGCAGAATGTAACCTGCTTATTACAAAAATCTACAATAAGCGTAATTTAACCTGACAGCAGGTAACTCTGCCTAAGGCAACTTAACCCCTGACTTAATGATTGGTGGGCCGTGGGGTGTATTTTATTAATGTTTTGTATTTAATGTATTGTAATTATCATTAATTTTTGTTTGTAAACTAAAAAGTAGGTGTTCTAATTATTGATTTGTGGTGTCACCTGACATTATTAGAAGGTGTGTTCTTTCCTTTCATGTTTTTGCTTTGTGAATTTCTCCAGTTTTAGAGGGTGCAAAAGGCAGCTATGACACAGATAACAGCAGTTCTACTGTTATCTAATGCAGGTAACAGCAGTTTACTGTTATCTGTGTTATAGCCCACAAGATGTTACTTAGGCAAGGCTCAGTGATGATGTATCCCTGCCCAACAGAGTATACCATTTGCCTGAAGCCTTCATATAGGTAGACCGTAGAGAGGTACCATTTATTGACCCAAGTACCTACCTTTTTTTAATTAAAATGAAACAAGTTAAAAATAACAGTGCTGGACTTTCCATTTTATGCTGATATGCAGTCTAACTACATGCCAATTGGGCTTCATTCTTTTTATAGCTACATAACAACACAATTCGATTTGAAGATCTGATTTGATTTGATTGGAAGCTCATGATTTGATAGTCAATGATCAAGTAATGTGTTCATGGCCAATATACTATATAGTAAACCAAAATACATCCATATCTTTGATAAAGTATCACATAAAGTTGTACTTTGTCTTATGATTTACAGCAGTTTTGTGATTCTAGTCTGCATTTTATTAAGTTCTTGTCTTTTGAAATACTTTCACAAGCTCATTATTTTGTGCCATCATGGTCACAAGATGTGTCTCAGAGTAATTTCTCTACCTGAGAGAAAGCATGTTGCACATAGAAATTGATAATCATCTCAATTCTACCTAACCACCATATCTTCTTCATCTGTTTCAGGGACTCAATCAATCATGGCCGAGGCTCCGAGTCCGGCAGCGGAGGTTCCCGCTGTCCCATCTCGCTCCCGTCTCGTCTCGTCGGCCAGCTCGACGTACTGCGTCTCCTTCAAAGATACCCACCTGGACGTGGTTGTCAAGACGCCGGTGCTGCCACCACGCGACGATAATCCGGAGTTATGTTTCTCGGGCAGCCAGGACGGGGCTGTGGTGGGAGAAGATAGCCATAAATACGGACAAAAAGTGCGCCTGCTGGATGAGGAACCGGATGCTATCATCCCGGCGGAGAGGTGAGTATAGAGCTTATTGCTGGCGAATGGACGTGTACGCTGCATGCGAGGAAATAGCTGCTGTGTCAACATATGCATTACACGATGAGGCGAGACTCGACTTAGTCGGGCTGACTCAGCCCGACACTTGGTGACGGACTGGCAAGTGTTGATGGTCTGCAGGCAAGTCAACTCCCCCTCCCCACACAACATGCGGATACACGAGTAAAATATACAGAGTTAAAACTTAGAGCGATTCACGGATAGACATAATCAAGTTCAAGAGCTGCGTTTCGGCCTGAGCTCCTCAGTAGACGCTTTTCAAGTGCCAATTAAATGCCGACATTGGGAGTTGCGCCATGTTGCTGCCCATCCCCCCTCCGACCCAGTTACTGTCACGGCGGTGACGGGGTCTGTCGACACTTGTACCAAGTGGGCCGCTTAGCCGGCGGCCAAGGCCACTGTTACGTCGTCCCGCTGGATGTCCAAGGCCGAGCCAATGATACTACCTAGCGTTCTGAGACGGGGCTGCTCAATCAGCACGTGCGACGGACATGTGTGAGGGCCTGAAAAGCCTTATTTTGAAATTTGATATCAATAACGGCATCCTTTTGTGCATATATGATCTGCCCCATCCAAAGAAAATGGGATCATTCTTAAATTTCTGGAAGTGCTCAATTACGTTGGATTTTACTTTGCACGTTTCCATTACGTTATTGACTGTACGATATCCGAGACCCGAGTTACAGAGGAATTACAGGGAAATTGAAGAATGGAAATATACCGGTCATTGAGGCGTGTGCTAATTGATACCTAGATATTCTCACTCGCCATTATTTTTCACATCCCCGCCAGGGGTGGTGCATGTGCACACTCGAGGGTTTGCCCGCGATTGCTTGAAAAGAGTCGATCGAATCGAGACCTGCCCTACCGAAGCGGGTGATATAAAATATGACCCCTTCGGAAAACTTCTTGACATTAGTGGCTTTGACCTGGGCCTCGTTTCATAAAGCGAGTCCATAACTTACGCCGTTTTTTGGGCTTGTATTGCAAGCGCATGTGAAGCGATGCATTTATTTCTCCTTCTCCCTTCTGTTCTTGCTTGCAAGACAAATTCAACGATTCAAACCATCGTCAGCGCTTCACGTGCACCAAGACCAAAAACCGGCGTAACTTACGGACTTGCTTTATGAAACGAGGCCCTGGTCTCATAGGTGACTGGTTGACCTAAGACCTTAAAATATGCTGCCAGTCGCAACTGTGTCTCGTAACTGCGCACACGCTCGAGTTTTTCCTTTGCAAAGCTCTATGGTTCAATGAGAGGTGAAACGGCAAGGCGGTCGCACAACGTCGGCTGCGCTTATGTAGAGAACCGATGGGTTCGACGAGAGGTTAAATGTTCCGTCGCCGTCATCGTTTTGCATGTTTTTTTTCTACATGTTATGTTATCATTTTTATTTTATCTCTCTCCGTGGAAGCGTTCGCTATTTCAAGAGTAGTCTGAGATTCAAACCCCGGGAAGCGATGCTAAGGCCTGGCGTCTTGCGAGCGTGAATGTCCCGTCGGACGTGGCGCAATCTGCGTCTGATTTCATAAAAGTTCAAAAATTACGAATGGCGCAGTTTCCCACCCATTCGGTTGCATTTTATGTCCAAACGGTTTCGTAGAAAAATTGCGGATGCAGCCATATGATATTACTTACTATGATCAAAGTGATGGATGTAGTAAAATGCAGTCCAAAACAAATGATAATATACAACCGGGGCATAATACACCCAGTGATCCTAATAAAACAGCCCAGTTCTAGATGGCGTAGTTTCTTAGGGCGTAAAATACACCGTGATGTGAAATACTACCAGGCTTTATGAAATCGGCCGCAGCTGGTGACTGTTCAGCCGCTGACGGCGTGGTTCTGTTGACACTATACACGCTCAGAGACCGGCAGCGAGAGGGGAGGGACGGGCGGCTGTGGGCTTTGTTTACCCTCACCACCGCAGGCGGTGTCCCGAGTGGTACCGCACTGTACCGTGTGGAGCGGCCACTGCATCCGGTGGGCACTCGGGCTGCGGGCTCTTTGTTATCTGGAGTTTTGTATGCTTAGCATTTGAACGTTTCCAGCACCTATGTTGCCTGCCCGCCAGGTCCCGACAATTACCCTGTATTAACTGGCTGTCATTAGTTATTACCCATTGCACGGGTAAATACCATATTATCTGTTGTGATGCTCAGGTCGACTGGTAAGCTCGAGTCCCCCTATTCTCCTATCTCCCATCTCCCTATTCTGTCACAACACCGGTCAAAGAGTTTCGCAGTACGCACGGACGTAACTTCCCCTTCCCGAGATAGCGGCCACTGTCGCCGCGGGCACACGGCGGAGGAGCGCACAGTGCCGTGTGTAAGGGTAGTGCCGGGGGCATGGACCGCGTGCGCCGCTCTGATACGGTATCGGGGCCGGCGCCGCCCGGAGAGGGGCCATTCAGGGTCGGGAGCGCGCCCCTGTCGCATGGACGCGGTGCTGTGACGTGGACTCGGTGAGCAGATTGGTGGTCTGTTGCAGTGACGGAGACAGCGTGCAGAGTGGCTGGGTGTTGCCATCGGACTGTGGATATCAGATCGGAACGTGTTCCGTGCCTGGAGTAATTTTTGAATTGCCGAGATAAAACTGGTGTCTGAACTCTGAAGCATACTTGGATTCTGGAGTTTACCTCAAGATATAAAGTATATCTTTGAGCTCGTTTTGGATTCTGGCACTGATATCTGACGGTGAAGATGACACCCCCGCGAACCAAGTCCTCGGCTACGGAGAAGACGCCGCTTCTGGCGGACGGTGGCACGCAGCAGAGTGACGCCTCGACGCTGCTTACCGTCCGCTTCGGCAGTCCAGAGGAGGCGTGGTTCGGGTATGTCTCTTCTTTCTGTAATTAAGACTTAAATTGAGGCACTAATGCTAACTGTTGATGCTTGAAGACGGGCACAAATAAGCGAGTGTAAAGTCGAGTCGGAACGTAGAGAGTGACAGGTCTCAGAAGGAGACAGCCCACGCCGCTCCCTAAGAAATGTCGGAAAGAACGTTGAGTTGCTCTTGCCGCCGGTTCGGAGAAGTGTATGTTTGTGTGTCTTGCCGCGGTTCCATGACGCTCTGGGTTTGAACATACGGTGCCGAGTGCCGACCCGACAGAAGGATGTAGTACATTGTGCCTTAACATAAAAAAAATCAAAACCAAGATCACAAAAAAAAACTGAGTGTGAACTGATCACTGATCGATGGCAGGCATCTACATCTTTGGGTTTTAATCGTGCGATGTTGATCCCATTCAAACGTCATGATTAGGAGTTGTTGGCCGGACCTTCAACCATCCACAGATACAATAGCCGTCGCCTCCTGTTCCCCCGTGCCTGAAAAAATCGGCCCGTCCCGCCCGCTGATGCCAGTGCTGCACCTGTGCCCACAGGCCGGACGGCGGCGGCTCCAACACGTTCGGGCCGACTGCGGATACGCCGGTGGACTCTCGGCGAATCATCTACTGCCTGCACGGAGATGAGCTCACCGCCTGTGAACAGGGCTGCTCGCAGGAGAAGATCGAGGAGCTGCAGAGGCTCTACAAAGGTACGAGATGGGACAAGGAGCTTTCAGGGTAGCCAGATGTTGTTTGACTGATCATTCAATGCAAATTAGTTGGGGAAACTACGAGGCGCCGAACTAAAATTGGATCAGCCAATCAACGGCTGGAGTGGGCGGGGCGATGACCATATATGGCCATAAAATCAGAAAACTTCATCTTTTCCATGCATCCTAGCATTCAAATGAAAAAATAAGGCATAAGAATGTTTTTTTTTAACCACACAAGGCCTACCTCACTCGGTGAACGATGCACTGGCGGCTCTAAATCGCAGAGTTACAATACAAGGTCAAACAGTGATTGCAATTGGCAAATATGGCGGATTGAAACAGACGCGCCAAAATATGTAAGCAGCACCATGGTTTTAAAATGCCATTATTTCTATTATTTTGTATATGGTTTTTCCAATAGTGGTTAAATAATTATTTTAAATTTAAATATCTTTATTTATTGTCTTTTGATTGTGACGCCCGGAACCTGCAGAAAAACCGTTTTTCTACCGCCATTTTCGAGTGAATTCGCCGAATTTGATCAAATCGCGTTGATTCCTAGTGGAAAATGGAAGCTTTTTCTCTGCGATAACTGATAAGTGGACGCGATACCGCAAGTACCGGCAGGTTATACCGTTTTTCACCCTTAGTAGCGATGGCTGCATTTATGCCCATATATGGTCAACAAAAGTCTATTTATTGACCGATCCATTTTTGGATCTTCGCCTCGTTGTTTCCCCAACTGAAATGCAGTTCAATGCATCAAGCAACTCACCTTCCAAATAGCTTAAAAAGCTTGATCTATGTTTTGCAACTCAGTAATTTCATTATAGCAGACAGAACAGCCACATATATTCGCCGCAAATACGAGGGGGTATCGAAAAGTTCTGATCATCACATAGAAGATATAGACCGATTTTGATGAGTTTTGGTTGGTATTATATTTGGTTCTTAAAGGGACCCTCCCACCTTAACATTAGATTTGAGTTGAGATAGCCAAAATGGGGTCCCTGGCTCACAATTACCGGTTTCGGCACTCACAACATCGAGAAATGCCTTAAATCGGAAATATTGAATTTCAAAATTGCAGCATTTTGATTCAGAGGGGCTAATGCATAGGAATACCCCTCTGAATGTGTGACGTCAGCGCAGATATCTAACGATTTTTAAATGTTTGACTAAAACGTTTTGTAGCACGCGGTGGTATAGGCTGCTTTGCGCGCAACAAGTGCCGCACTTTCAGCTGCCAAACTATTGCTTCCAAATAAAGTCGCTAGGAACAGCGGAGATCCCAAAAAGTAAACAAAAGTAAAAGTCTAATATCTTGAAAACCGGTGAATATTTTTCGGTGAAATTTGGTAGATATTCGTTTTCGCTGTTTCTGAACCGAGCGACATCACTTTCATGCCAATTCATAAACTTTTTTGAAGGTGGGAGGGTCCCTTTAAAGGGACCCTCCCACCTTCAAAAAAGTTAATGAAATGGCATGAAAGTGATGTCGCTCGATTCAGAAAGAGCAAAAACGAATATCTACCAAATTTCACCGAAAAATATTCACCGGTTTTCAAGATATTAGACTTTTACTTTTGTTTACTTTTTTGGGATCTCCGCTGTTCCTAGCGACTTCATTTTGGAAGTGCGGCGTTCACGGCAGATGTTGCGCGCAAATAGCATATACCACCACTGCTTTACAAAGATGTTAGTATAAGGTTTTAAAATCGTTAGATCACCGCTGACGTCACAAATTCTAAGGGGGCATCTCAATGCATTAGCCCCTTAGAATCCGAAAACTGCAAGTTTGAAATTCCATATCTCCGAATTAAAGCATTTTTCGATGTTGTGAGTGCCCAAACCGGTATTTGCAGGCCATGGCCACCAATTTGGCTATCTCAACTCAAAACTAATGTTAAGGTGGGATGGTCACTTTAAGGATAATGTTCCCGCAAAGAGAATCCTGAGAAGTGGTTTTATCTTATGTAGGAGAGACTTAGAAGTAAAAAAGATGAGTATTGGGCCCATTGAGGACCGAACAGTCATCCAACTAATGCATTTGAAACGGTATCACACTGAGAAAATACATCAATAACGTGAAACTAGTTTATGGCGAGGAAAGGCCATCTCATACACTTACCGAAAATGAAGAAATAATTTTCAACTTGGTTTCATGGCCCTTGCAGGGGAATCAAGAAGTGAGTGACTACCAGTGACTGACAAGGTGGTGACTGTGAAGGAAGTGGAGGGCCTCATCCTTACAGGTCGTCGTGTGACCTTTCAGATGATTGTGCAACAGAAAGGTCTCAATGCTGGCAGTGCCTGAAAATATTATCAGCGAAGAACTACAGACGATAAAGGAGTCAGCCCGCTTAGAAGTTCGTGTGTCTACTTTGTTCAAGAAAAAAATGCGTCTTGGCCTTTCGAAATGAAAACTAGGCCTTTTTTAGGAAATTGAAGACATCTTCGATCATTTGATGACTTGTGACGAATGCTGGGTCTATGTGTATGATCCAGAGATAAAAAGATGATCAAGAAGTTAAAGCACGGCACATCTGTCCTTAAAAGGCGAAGATGCAGAAGCCGATATGGAAGGTCAATGCTATCAGTGTTCTGGATCTGGAGTAGGATAGTCATTACCGACTGTCTTGATGATGGTCGGATGATGATAAGCAAGCACTACAGCACACTTTTGAAGAAGTTGCGAGACGGCCTCAAGCAGAATCGCCGCAAAAAGCCAAGAAAGATGTTTTATCCGCACCGACAGCGCCCCCGCCCATTCGTCCTGAGCTGCGATTGAAGAAACAACATGATGTGGACATTTAATCCTACCGCATCTAAGAAATTCACCTGACCGGGTTCACCTGACTGACTCTTGATTGTTACGGGAGATGAAGAATCCACACTCACAGTATGGCCGGTGATTTAAGGACAGCAATGACGTCATTGATGAGGTGGAGCAGTGATTTACGGGACAGTGCGAAGGTCCTACAATGACCGCCTGAGGCAGCTCAAGAAACGATGCAATAAGTTTGCGGTCGTGTGTTGTGACTTGTAAAGGAGTAATGAACATCATGTAAAAAAAAAATCAAATTTCTATCACATATAATTCATGGTGATGATCAGAACTTTTCGATACCCCCTCGTATATACACGAATTCGGCTCATAATTCGTGTCGAATCCTTTCCGCCATTGTCGCCAGTTCATCAGAGTGTGTTTACGTTCCATTCGCCTCCGACCGTTACCCTAACGGCTTAGGTGCCCTCTGATCCTTACTATCTGAGAGCGATGGTGTTATCAGTGAGAAGCGGAAGAAAAACTGAACAAACACGGCACAAAAATGCTCAGCCGCGGCGAAAATATTGACGGTCAAGGCGTGGAAGAGTCTTACTACTATTGTGCCGGGTGCATTTTGCGATTGGGAAGAGGAGAGATTGGAGAATGAAAAGAGGATTAACGAGACACGAGGCAAATGCATTGTTGCAACAGCGAGCTGCCGTGGCTCCACCCACCGTTGGATCCGGGGCTTGAGCGGATCCGGAGTGGTGTGTGCGGAGTGGATCCAGGCTTTTTTAGCTGTTTAGGTATATCGAAATAAAGGTTGCGGTCAGACGGGCTCCCTTCTCCTGCAGAGACGGGGCCAGAGGCGTGAGGATGCCTTGCACTGACCTCTGAGTCCGGATCAGGGACCGGCGTTGGCCCATCAGGGGCGATTGTATGGCCGTTAGGGGACACTATGGGCTCATCATGGGTCAGTTAGGACCATTAGAGGCCACTAAGGTCTATCAGAGGTTCATTTACGCATACCAGTGGCCTATATAGATCCATCAGAGTGCTTCACAGACCGATCAGGGGATGGTGTTGGTTCATCAGGGGCCGGCGACCGGCGTTAGTCCATCAGGGTATGTCATAGCCCCATCAGGGGTAATAATTGGCCCGCCCGGACCCTGAGAACCCTTCAACGGCCCCTGATACGGTGATCGAAGTACTTGGCATCTGACTCGCTAATGCCGGCCCCCCATGATAGACCTACCCAATACCCATAGACCTCTACATACCGGTATGTAGAGGTCTATGACCTACCTCGATCCCTAATGGGCGTACTCGGCCCCTGATGAGCCTACACCGAATCCGGATAGGTCTGAATGGGCAGGAATGTAATCACGCTCAACAGAGTGGTACGGACCAGCTGTCATAAGAGGGTGCCTCCATGTGAAAGAGAGGTGCCTGCATGCGAAAGAGGAGCGCCTGTGAGGGCTATAAGGGGCACCTCTTATGGCCATATGGCCTGTGTGCGAAGAGAGGCGGCTATAAAGATTATAGTGGCGCCTCCATGTCATGCAAGAGAGTCGTTTGTGCAACATTTCTGAGTCGTGGTGCGCCGTTCGCAGCAAATAGATACCTACCGAAAAAGGTCTGAGAGGGGGCTGGTACGGACCAAAATTCTTACAGATAATACGGACACTCCGTACTGACCGTATTGGCGATTACGGCCGTAGTGCATGTGAATCTGATTAGAATTCAATTGTGTAAATGCTATACTCCGATCGAAGTTCGGCGTCTGCTGTGTTGCATGCAGGAGGAGGTGAGTTCTCTAAGCCATCTTGGCTCTGCGATTCGGCCTGAGGTCTGATCCTGGCCGAGTTGCGTGAACTGCCGACAGCATTCGTAGCGCTTTTGTCAGCGGCGGTGACGGTGACGCGGGATTTGCGGCCCGAGGTGGTAGTCCAGCTGTGGTTCGCTGTGGTGGTCCGGCTGCGGTCCGGTCCCATGGTCCAGCTGCGGTCCGGTCCGATGGTCCCAGTACGTTTCGGTTCGGTGGTCCCAGTACGTTTCGGTTCGGTGGTCTGCATGATGGTCCGTCTGGCGATCGCCTCGGTGATCATGTCGACCACGGAGAGGACTGAGATCCCGAGCACGAGGCTGACGAAGCCGCCCATCTCGCTCAGCAGGCTGGGCAGCCGGTAGGAGCGGCGCTCAGTGGTCACCTCCTCGGCGATCGAGGCGGACTCCACGCGCACCATCAGTGGCTCTTTTTTGTAGTCCCGCACCGGGGACATCTCCACTCCCGTGTCGGCGACGAAGCTGCGGATCCGACAGGCCGGCAGGCAGGGGCAGCTGGTCGTGTTGACGGCCAGCAAGCCGTCCTGCTGCGCCTGCCTCAGCACGGCCTGGGAGCACTCGGGGAGCTGCGGGAAGTCGCGAATCATCTCCGGCATGGCGCAGTGTTCCCGCTCGGCCCACTGTCGGTGGGCGCAGTCCATGATGCAGGACTCGTAGTAGTAGTCCTTGGCGGGGTTGCACGGGGCTCGGTTCAGACTCTCCCGGTCGATGATGCGGGAGATGAGTTTGACGCTGACGAGATCGGAGGTCTCCCCGTGGCAGAGATAGCGCAGTCGCAGGTCCTGCTGCACGCCGCGTACGCCGAGATTGGACATCACCGGCCTCCGGTGCGGGTGGACAAACAGCCGGTAATCGCAGTTGGACGGTTCGTCATTCATCTTCAGCTTCAGCTCAAATCTCCTCTGGCCGGCCGCCTGAGCTAGTTGGCTCCACGTCACGTTCGGTGTGAGTGTGTGGCAGAGGGTGCTCTCGCTCAGCGACGGCCACGACTCCCACCAGCCGATGCCGACCTCGACCCGTCCTCCGGGATAGGGGACGCTCTCCTGGGGACGACACGCCGGCTCGCAAGTGGGAATCCCCTCGTGGAATTCATTACCAAAGTGCCAGAGCTTCTGACCGACGGTGCTGTTTCGCGGCAGGCCGAAGATAAACGGGTACCGCTGCCATTGATAAGGCGTACCGCAGACGGTGACGGATGGCACGGCCACGTCCTCCCACGGCGTGAACGACGTGACCACCGAGACGGGCTCCTCGCCGAACATCTGTACCAGCATCCAGCACTGGTACCCGGAGAGCAGCGCGCAGCAGGTGACCAGCGCGAGCCGCGCCAGCCGCGGGCCCGCTCCCAGCGCCATGGCCGCGCCGCGCGGACAGACAGGCAGACGGGCGCAGCGGGCCGCCGCGCTCCGGAGAGCACGGGCGGGCTCTGAGCGGGCCTTGTGCTCCATCGGCCTCGTCGCGTTTGCACGTCTTCCTAGATCAATGGCGTGTTATGAGCTGTCAATACGGGTTCCTTCAAAACCATGGGCTCCAGCCGGCGCCGTTAATGCACCAAATTGTACAGGTGGCCAGTCACTCAGCGAGTCGTGCTAAAGCCTAAGTGCACGATCAGCCGGTCTTTGCGGCTGCATTTACGTTTCACGCTCCGATGCATTGGGTGTAGCTGTTGGCAAGGCGATAAAATATCAGGTGGCGTCGTTGGGAGTTCTTCGCAGGCCGGGCTTGATGCCACGTTATGAACAGTGGAGGAAGCTGATACAACATTATATAAACCATTTACTGAGACAACATTGATAAAATGATATTTAAGGCTCTGCCCGGCTCCCTGCGAGCGATTTTTCGTCCTCGTGCCGCCGTATCGGAGCGCGAAACGCGCAGCGCTGCCGCGGGTTGCCGGTGCTGAAGCTGCCTCGCTACCGGCTCACCCTGGTGAGGAGGCTCTTCCCAATCCCACGCAGGGCTGCGCTATCGTGGAATGACCTTCCAAGAGATGTGACATCATGTGTCGCATCTGTATTGGCTGGGCCCTGACAGCCACTTGTGGAACGGTCCTTAAATAAACCTTGTTACCTTATAAATGCGGTTCAGAATAAGAACAGGAACGATCGTTGCTTGTGCTCCTCTACTTGACGCCCCAACCTTCTTACACACACACACGCCCGTGTCGTATATGACCCATATCGTAGAGCTTTTTTGAAAACATTTATTTTCCCTTCTTATTTTGAATAGTGTTCTTCTGTCACGTGACCATGACTGTGTTGTGTGTTTTCCAGACTCGCACTGTCACGTGTCTCGGGCAGCCGGGATGAACCAGGCCGCACGGAGGAAACTAATGATCGCCAGTGCCCTGTGCCTGCTATTCATGGTGGCTGAAATTATTGGTAAGTATGACGTCACCGCAATGGTTCCGGCGAGTTGTGGGCATGACGTTATTCCATCAACATTTGTCTCTGAATAGATGCACTAGCTTATGTGGAAAACTTCCTCAAGTTTTGTTTCTGCCAATTTGCATACAGAGATAATAAAACGAAGCGCAAAATATAATAAATGAAATGCGTATTGGTTGGATTTCGCAGCCTTGATGTAGTTACCGTTTTTTGACCACGTGCGCTCACTCCTGCGCACTGTTCCCTCCGACTGACCTCTCACCCCCTGATGCCATGTTTGCTTTACTCTACAGGCGGGTACCTCTCCAACTCCATCGCCATTGCCACGGACGCTGCCCACCTGCTGGCCGACTTTGCCAGCTTCATGATCTCACTGTTCTCACTGTGGGTGGCTTCCCGACCGGCCACGGCACGGATGAGTTTCGGGTGGCACCGCGCAGGTCAGTTTCAGTTCTTCAACAGCATCCTGTTATTGTTTTTGACACCCGCTTCTTTAGGTAATTGGATGGGAATAGAAACCGGGGTAGAGTGTTGTTTTTCCTGCTCTTGAATTATATCTGGAATATTGTCTTATTGGCATTTTTGCGGCAATTTTAGGATGATTGCATCTCAATATCTGTTCCAAACGTGCCGTTTATTGGATGGAAGGAGGATCTGCTTATTGATCTCACAAAGTTTCTTTTTATAAGCTGTCTAAATGTTTCAATATAACGGTTTAGCGGAATTACGAGTATAATCCTCTAAGGCCGCGAATGCAACTTTGATCAGCCCGGCTTTGACATCTGCACCTGTCAGCACCGGTGAGTTTTTCGTTTTATCACTGCTCAATCGCTTTATCGGTATTCCTTTTTGGATTATTCTTCCTCCGCTTCTACGTTCTACTGCGTGTGTGGGCCACATGCGGAAGAGCAGGTCACCCCTGTCGGGCCGAGGTGGACCCTGCCCGGCACCAGAGCGCCCCGTTTATTGACTGAGCCCTGCCGTGGTCGGTGCTGCACCGGTCTGGGACCGAGCTCTGAGCGATGGGCGGGTGTTGTGGCGGGGTGTGACGCGTCACGGTGACGTGACATGTGGCACGGGGGGGGGAGGTGACGGGGGGGGGGGTGTCAGAGAGTCTAAACCCGGCAGTGATTGGTGGTAGTTGGGGTCCGCAGAAAAACAAGCAGTCTCTTGGGTGTGGGTGGACTTGGGACTGTTTGGGATAGCCGAACCACTTGAGAGCCATGTGAAATGGCTGGGATCATGTGGAAGACTGCATCGTCATAATATGCAGCAACGACGGTTGGTGACTGTTACCCGTAATTGGCATTCGCTTCGGTGTTAATGATAAAACTCTGATGCATCGAAGTACGGTTACCATCATTATCAGCTGAGGAATAACCACCTGCACTGATTTGATGACATTTCCACTTGATATTGTTTCCCTTTCCGTCGGTTCAGCTCACCGTTCTGTCCCGTTCTCCACAGAGGTGATGGGAGCGCTGATTTCGATATTCCTCCCCGTCACCTGACACCTCTGCTCTGATCTCTCCTCAGAGGTGATGGGCGCGCTGATCTCTGTGCTTCTCATCTGGGTGGTGACCGGCGTGCTCGTCTACATGGCCATCCAGCGGGTCATCTATCAGCAGTTCGAGCTCGACGCCGTCGTCATGCTCATCACGTCAGGGCTCGGCGTTCTGGTGAACATAGTGTGAGTCATTTTCAGTAGTGTAGGTAACTTATGGAAGTTAAAAGTTATATAAGTCGTATCTGCTAAGATCATTGTGGTCTGCAGTTACGTCAAGGCCAAACGTATCAAGCCGAACAACTTTGTTAGCTGTTTTTCGTGTTAGTTTTATTTGTTATCCTTGATTACATTTTCCAAATATGTCTGAAGAGGAGGGCGAAAATGTCTCAAAAATCCAAATTCCCTTGTATTATGGAAGGGCAGTCATTCATTACCATGTGGTTGATGACATTTCCGCATGTTTGTGTCGGCACTTGACATGCTACAGCATTCTATGTTGGAGTCTACGTGCGAGTTTCAGTTTATTCTAGCCACATGCTTGTCCATCTGGGTTATTTCCACGCATGGGCTGCTCACACTTCATTATCTCGCCTCCACACTATAATCTTTCATATGCGCAGCGTAGCTGTCTCTGTGTCTGGCCTGCGACACATCATCGGTCTGTCTAAACAGACAGTCTCAGTTTGACACTCGGTCCGGGCTCGCAGTCACTTGACTTAGTCAGAAGCCCAGAATGCGGCTGTAGGGTCAAAAGCCAAGGATTTGCACTGGTCATCCGCCAGAAAACGGATGAACCTGGGACAGGACAGCATTGAATACTTTTTTGAGAATTTATGTTCATCTTACTGATCACCTGTATTGGAAGCAGACATGTGCATGGATCCGAGAAAATGGATCTGGGATCTGATCCCACGTCCTGATCTCGGATCCGACGGGATGATAGATCAAGCTCAGTAATTTATCGAGAGATCCGTATGGATCACAGATCCGAGTCTCATTTTTTGCTTGAGGTCCAGTGAGATCATAGATCCTCACATTTATTTTTTTGTCAACACATATATCCCAAAAAACACTTTTTTCAACTCACAAACGTTCTGTTTTAGTGATTTTATGTGATCGCACGTCATAATCCATAGTTTTGTGTCACTTATTGGCATATAAGCCCTTTAAAACATAGTTTCAACTGTGATGCATGGTGGGATCCGCTCAGATCATAGATCCATGTTCTTAATTTATCGTCAGATCATATGAGATCATAGATCCAAGATGTATTTTGATGGGATCATACAGGGTGTCCCAGAATTACCCGAACATTTATTTTCTGGCTAAAAGTACGATTGCGCTCGATTCTAATGATACACAAGCATCATACTTTTATAAGATATCCCTTAGCTATCGAGCTTGGTGACTGTGTGCTTTTGGTGACCGGTAACGACTCGAGTCAATTATCATCCAGAGTCAAGTAAGAGTAGTCCTTTTCCGTTTTCAGCTTAAGCCACTAATAGGCAACCATGGTGAATCAACTCCCGTTCTCAACTTTGTAAACGGACTTTCGGCATGGTTTTTGCTGGAGAGCTTCAGCAGCTCATCTGCAAGCAGTTAGAATTGAGCAAAGCGCAATTATATCAGCTAACGAAGCCAGAGAGAGCAAGAGATAAACCTGATTGACAAACTTAGGCTCGGCCAAAAAGGGCCATGCACCAATTGTCAAACGGGTGGTTGCTTGTCATGGACAACAAACGTCACCGATCTAGCTAAAAACTAGCTAACCGATAGATCAGGATTATCTAAAGAACATCAGTCTACTTTCCACCACTATCTTCGACAAAATTTTGGAATTTGGGGTCCTTCGCCTGAAAAATATGATGCGACAACTACGGGAAAGGCAGCGAAAATCACTACAATTCATCCCAAAAACATAACATATACAACAAAAAAGTAAATTGAAGCACACTTTGTGGTCAACCGAAGGTATTCTGTCATTTGAACCGCCCGAAAAAGGTGTGTGTGAACGTCAGATGGCTACAACGCCCCAATAACAGAGACTGCCAGGCACCCGTCGAAAATCGAATTGTGAGACATTTTGAGCCACTGTGCACTCATTTGGCTTGATATTGAAACACAACGAGGTCTCGGTCTAGACTGACTGTATTCAGACGGGACGGGTCCCTCGCCGGTGCCCAGTCACGTGACCGTCCCGGCCTCAGGCACGGTCAGCTGGCGCCGGTGGCCCGGCGGCCGGCACGCGACAACCCACAACGCCACATTCCTCCCCACCAGATCTTGACATAAAACAATGCACGATATATACACGAATTAAAACCTATCATACAAAGCGAACACGACCATGAATCGACAAAGCATAGGACGGTGCGTACGATCTTACGCATAACTCAATCGGTCCGGTCCGGGAAGCGGCCTGGGACGGAGCACCCGGTCGGACACTGCCGGCGCCGCTACGGCCGCCGGCGGAGCGCCCAACTCAGGGGAGACCGGCCCGGCCAGCGAGCCAGGCGGCCCGGCGTCAGCCAGCGGCGACGCCAGATCCGCCGGATCCGGACCCCAGTCCGGACTCTGCGCCACCGGAACACCGCGGTAGGGACGCACCCGATCGACATGTCGCACCAATACACGGCCATCATTCAAACGGACAGTGAGTTTCACACCGCGTCGTCCAATCAATACCCCCTGAAGCCAGTTTCTTCCCCTCGAGCCCTGCAACTGTCCGACAGCCGAGACATAAACTGGTTCGCCTATATTCACAGAGTGTGAGTCTGCCTGTCGACACCCTCGGTCCTTACACCGTTTCTGTCGGTCCTGTTCCCGTCGGACAGTTTCCTCCAGGTCGGGTCGCAGCATATCGACCGGCGTGCGTAACTGACGGCCAAACATCAGCTCTGCTGGTGACGTATGTGTCGTGCTATGGCTGACTGTGCGATAGTTGAATAAAAATCGAGACACTTTAGTGTTGACCGAGCCTCTACCCTGCTTATTGAGGCTTCGCTTAAGCGTCTGAACAGCCCGCTCTACAAGCCCATTGGATTTCGGAGAGAACGGAGGTGAGGTCAGATGACAAATGCCGTTCACCCGACAAAACGCTTCGAACTCTGGAGAGACAAAACACTGGGCGTTGTCAGAGACTAGGGTTCTGGGGACTCCCCAGCACGCGAATGAGCTTCTCAGCTTTTCCAGGGTGGTTTCAGTAGTAGCCTGTCTGCAGGGGAAAACATCCATCCACTTCGAATAGGCATCGACTATAATCAAAAACATACTACCTTGAAACGGACCGCAAAAATCAATGTGCACTCGCTGCCAGCATCCAGACGGCCACTCCCAGGGATGGATTGGCGTCTCTGGTAGACTGGAGCGCCATTCCTGACATGTGGAGCATTTACTGACCATCTCAGAAATATCACGGTCCATGTTTGGCCACCAAACATAACGTCTGGCGAATGACTTGGTCCTGCCCTCCCCACAGTGTCCACTATGCAGGAGCCGCAGTACCGCTGCGCGACCTTTGGGCGGAACGATCACCCGTGCTCCCCAAAGTACGCAGCCACCCTGTGAGCTGAGCTCAGACTCCCGACATTTATATGGCCCAAATTCAGGAGAAAGCGGTACACCACACGAAGGCCAGCCGTCCTGAACATATCGATAGACAGCAGACACGACTGGATCACGCGCAGTCCACTGACGAATCTGCTGTGCTGTTATTGGACTGGAGTCCAAAACCTCCATCATGTGGACCAGCTCTGCTGGCACCGGACTGCTGGCGTCCGCCGGTACGTCGGGCAGTGGCAGCCGGCTCAGTGCATCACAATGGCCCTGTAACCTGCCAGCACGGTACTCTAGCCGATAATCGTAGGCCGACAACATCATGGCCCAGCGCACGACTCTCGGCGACGCCATGAGCGGCAGAGGCTTCTGCTCACCGAGTAAGCCCAGCAGGGGCTTATGATCAGTTTGAACTCTGAACGATCTACCAGCCAGAAAATAGTGGAACTTCTTGACGCCTGCCACCAGGGATAGTGCCTCCCGATCAGTTTGCGAATATCTACGCTCAGTGTCGTTTAGGGTACGAGAATAGAAGGCCACCGGCCTCTCGCCGCCTGGCGTCAAAATACTAAGCACGCACCCGAGACCAATAGGGCTCGCATCAGCGGACAAAATCACATCATATTTCGGATCGAAATGGGCTAACACAGGCGGGCTTAGCAGCAGCTTTTTGCCAGCCTCGAACGCGGAGCGCTCAGTGTCACCCCAGCGCCACGGCTGGTTCTGGCGAAGCAGGATATACAATGGCGCCAAGACTGTAGAGAGACCCTTCAGGAACTTCCCGTAATAATTAATACCACCCAGCCAGGACCTCAGCTGACCCACTGACGCTGGCTCGGGTGCCCGGAGAATGGCACGGACTTTCTCCTCAGTGGCCTCCACACCCCTGGCGCTCACCCTGTGACCAAGGTACGTTACCTCGGCCAGCCCAAACTGGCACTTCTCACGGTTGACTCGCAGGCCGGAGTCCTGCAGGCGGCCGAGGACGGCCCTCAGCGCGGCGTTGTGAGAGGCAATGTCTGCCCCAGACACGACCACGTCATCCAGAAAAACCCCGATACCGGGAATGCCCGCTAGGAGCGTTTCGAGGGTTTTCTGGAACAACGCCGGCGCTGAACTGTACCCAAAACTGAGACGAGTCGGTCTCAACAGCCCACGGTGGGTATTCACCGTGAGATACTGTCTGGAGCTCTCATCTAATGGCAGCTGGTTATAAGCACACTTCAAATCTATCTTACTGAACACGGTCGCTCCCGCCAGCTTGGGTAGAAGCTCTTCCACCCGCGGCAACGGATACTGATACGGCGTGGCCACTTTATTAGCTGTCAAACGATAGTCTCCACAGATACGCAGTGAACCGTTTGCTTTCGGTGCGATCACTAGTGGTGCGGCCCATCTACTGTTAGAGACCGGCTCCCAGAGACCCTCGCTGATTTGTTTGTCAAGCTCAGAATCAACCTGCTCTCTATATGCCAGAGGAACGGTTCTGGCTTTAAAGAACCGGGGCTGAACGTTACCGTCCACACCAATATGAACAGGGTCACCGCGGTAGCAGCCCAGGCCGTCCCGGAATACTTCCGGAAACTCCGCCAGAATAGGCTCGACCTGGGGATGAGCTGTCAACCGACCTATGGCTGGCCAATCCAGCTTAATGGCCTCTAACCAGTTACGACCGAACAGGCAGGGTCCCTCCCCTTTCACAATCACCAATGGCAACCGGACCACCTGCTGCCCATACTGAACCCGCACAGTCGCCTCCCCACACACAGGTAACACTTCCCCGCTGTATGTCCTGAGACGGTACGAACAGCTACCCAGGACGGGCGGGTTATCAGGCCAAATCTGTCTGAAAACACTCTCACCACATACAGACAGCGCAGCGCCAGTGTCCAGCTCCATGGAGACGGGCCGATCATCCAGCATCACGTTCAGCTTGATCGGGGCGCGCCGGTCGCCCGAACACCGGAACAGCGAGTACAGCTCCTCTTCCTCCACCGCCGCGCTCACCGACCCGCTGGCAGAGGCCGCTGCCCCTTCCGGACGTCCCGAAGCACTGGCCGACGATGGCACTATCGCCGGCTGAGAGCCGTCAGCCCCCACATCAACCGCGTCACACTGCACTTGGTCAATGCCCGCACGTCGAGTAGCCGCACACGCGGCTCGAGTATGTCCAAGCTTTCCACACGAGAAACACACTCGCTTGCGGAACGGACACTTCTCCGATGAGTGACCCCGCCCCAGACAGCGAGGGCAGCGAGGGCAGGGACCGGCCCGACCACCCCGGGCAGGCGCATGAAGCCGGCCGACCGCCACTGGCCGCTCCCCACCGGACACGTGGTGCACAGCTGACTCGCCAGACGGGCCCGTCTGACTCTGGGCGATCTCGCCGGCCTGGCGGGCGGCCGCCTCATGCGCTGTCGCAATCGCTGTAGCCGACTGTAGAGTGAGGTTCTTCTCGCTGAGCAGCCGGGACTGCAGGCGCTCATTCCGGATACCGCTGACGAAACGATCGCGCAGCATCTCCTCCAGTATCCCGGCACAGCAGGTGAACTGGCACGGCCGAGCCAGGTGACGCAGCCGGGACAGGAAAGCTGACACCGTCTCGGTATCCTCCCGGCTGCAGGTGTGAAATCGGTGCCGAGACAGGATCACCGATTCATCCGGCTCGAAGTGAGACGTGAGCACCTCGATGATTCTGGCACAGGTCACCTCAGCTACCCCCGCCGGGGCAAGCAGGTCCTCCAGGAGCGAGAATGTGTCCGGCTCCAGAGCAGTCAGGAGCACAGCACGCCGCTTAGCGTCCACTGAAACCGCGGCCTTCTTGTCGTCGGGAATAAGCAAATCGTTCACGACAAAAAACTGTTCTAGCCTCCTGGTATAGGCACCAAAGCTCTCCTCGTTCCGCTTAAACACGGGCGGCACCCCAAGCCACGCCATGGCTGGTTCCGCACTCGTCGCCAATGAAACACAACGAGGTCTCGGTCTAGACTGACTGTATTCAGACGGGACGGGTCCCTCGCCGGTGCCCAGTCACGTGACCGTCCCGGCCTCAGGCACGGTCAGCTGGCGCCGGTGGCCCGGCGGCCGGCACGCGACAACCCACAACGCCACAGATATGATGGCCCAAAGTCAACCGTTAGCACAGAGTACTACTGCGATAATATTCTACCAGTACAAAAACTGGATGCCGTGAACCAAATGGCCATGAACGGGTTTGTTTTGGAAACCAAATCTGTTGGAAGCCAAAGGTCGCGCCATGTTCAGACATGGAGCTTCTCCACTTCAGATGTAAAAAAACGCGGCAAAAGTGGTGAAGGCAGAAATTTTTGTTTTGGGGGATAATGCCTTATGGCCTGGGAACACTTTGATGTTAAGTTTATCTTATATGATCGTATTATCCTCCGGCAAGAGGTCAAAGAAAACAGGCCTACACCCAGTTTCGGCAGACCCGTAAAACAACTGAGACCAGCAATGGCTGGCATTTTCCATCATTGTCGGCTGATCATGTAACAAGCGTATCTATTGCATGTGCTATTTCACAGCCACCCTAGTTGACTATATAGGACGATAAAAAGAAAAAAAACGCAATCATGTTTGCCTTATTTTATACGCCAATTAATAATGTTCGTGTAATTCTGGGACACCCTGTAGATCCCAACCTGCGAAATTAGTACTGCGAAATTAGTACACGCTCGATGTTATCAATGTCAGGTTTGTTGAACAATACACCCAGTGTCAAGTGGCTCCACTTAACGCTTGATCTGCTCATTTTGTACTCTCAGCGCTGAACAATATAATTGTAAACCTACCCGGTGTGCTCCTATGTGTCCCCTCACTGTGAGTCTCTCATGCTCTTTCCCTGATGCCACTCTTGACATCTGCCTCCCCTCTTCCCAGCATGGGGTGCACACTGCACCAGCACGGGCACAGCCACGGCGGCGGCTCGTCCCACTCCCACGGCGGCGGCTCGTCTCACTCTCACGGGGCGCAGAACATCAACGTGCGCGCCGCCTTCATCCACGTGCTCGGCGACTTCCTCCAGAGCATCGGAGTGTTCATCGCGGCGCTGGTCATCTACTTCAAGGTGAGGTGCCGCTCGCTAGGTGGCAACTTGACGTGTCCTCCACATCTGACGCTAGTGGACGCTTTTACTGCCAATATCGATTCGATTCACGCATTTTTTAGAGAAACTTAGCATTAATAATTTTCTTTTGTGGTAAGGTTATTTTCTGAGCTTGCGTTCTCATGCGTTTGCCTTTCTTGGAATCCGTGAGAAGCAAGTTAAAAGCCGATGGCTCTCAATAACTACCCAAACTCGAATTGCCGAAATGCTTCGTCCATGCTCCAACGGGGGCCCTACGTTGACAGTGAATTAATCGTGCACTTCTTATCTGGCAGCCTATGTGGATCTTGGTGGATCCTATTTGTACGTTCGTGTTCAGCATATTTGTTCTGGCCACGACGCTCACAATTCTCAAGGACACCCTCAACGTCCTAATGGAAGGTGGGTGTTTGCGAGTGTGATAGCGTGCATTCTTGTGGCATCACCCTTATATTTGTGACGACGAGATTTCTGCAGAGAGCATGGCTGAAAAGTTAATTAATGACTTGCCATGCATTAATTCCGTTATCTCGTCTTGGTTCGCCGAACTTTATTTAATAGAAGACTTAGCCAAACTGCCATCAGGCAACCCAGCCGATGACGCCAGCTCATGACAGCATTGAGCATCACAGCATTTATGCTTCATTACATCAGACTTACCCTAGCTATGATTGTCGTATAGTCGGCAGCTATTGTACGAATGTCTGCCCAATCGCGTCACACTTGATCTACATACATATTCAGCCTTCACTATGTCCCTGGTGCGAGCCGCACTGACTCCCGGTTACCTTTTTCGCAGGTATTCCGAAGGGCATCGACATCGAGCAGCTGCAGGCGATACTGGAGGGGATGCCGGGGGTGCTGAAGGTGCACAACCTGCGGGTGTGGTCGCTGAGCATGGACAAGCCGGCGCTCTCCGCACATATCGTCATCGGTGAGTCCGATCGGTTACGTGGCCGTGTGGAGACGCGCAATTTAGAGGGTGTGGCAGGGGTCGCTGCTGTGCTTGCTCTGAAAGGACTGTGTGATGGCGTAGTGGCCTATGAAATGAACTGTCGCCGCTTGTGCTCTACCCAATGTTCCCGTAAAATGGTCGGTCTGTTTCGGAAGTACTCCTTTCCTAAAATAGCTTCCATCCTCCTGTTTATCCTGATGTCTTAGGTAGGTTTATTTTGCATGCGATTTCTGTCGAAAGTTTGTTCTGATATCTGTCGTCGGATATTTGGCCCACTCACACGTCTGACGGCCGTCCCGACCCGCTCCCCGCAGGCCCGGACGTCAAGCCTCAGGGAGTGCTTCGTCAGGCTACTTTGCTGGTGCGCGAGCGGCACGACTTCTACGAGATGACGCTACAGATTGAGGAGTACCACGATCAGATGCAGGACTGCGACCAGTGTCAGGATACGGTCGGTGCTCGGAGGCCAGTCGAGACCGTCTGAGAGACCGCGGGGGCTGACAACCACGGCGGCAAATGCCGAGGGGAAAACCTGAACCGGTGGTTCGTGATCGGTGCGGTTGAAGCTTGGTGCTGAATAGGTCCAAGAGTGGCCAGTAGATTTGAGACGGTGCGGTCAAGTCATCCACTGGTGCCTGGAAGAGGCGAGACGAGGATCTGAGGGTAGATGGCAGGCACAAAGTTCGTGGCATGGATTGGCGTGGTTTGTGACGGGACCAACACAGGGCTCCGTGATGTCGGGCGGAGTTGGTAATTATCCTACCTTGCTTTAGCGCTGGAAGGCAGAGCTGGATGGCACGTCTCCGCGCACGGAGCTGTCTACACCATACCGAATCTGAGGGAGAGTAATACGGCCAGTGGTCGTCACGTTAGTCTTGTGGTCCCGCGCTGCCAGGAGGCCGTCTCTTTGGATAACATCCACCCACTAGCCATCATACCACACGAAACAGACAAGGGTGCCCTATTCCGCCGCACTGGCCCCCTCATCACACCATCGAGCTCTTAGGACTGTCTTACCGCTTTGACAGGCTTGTTTACGTCATGTGCCTTGTACCCTGTTGAAGTGCCCAAGTGTGCTGGCTGGTCTTCCGCTCAGAATGCAGGTGTCACAATTAGCCATGAATGTGGACATGGATAATGCGCATGTTATACTGATCGAGATATAGGACGTGTTTTAAAGCGTCTCCTCCATAGGTCGTGACCTGGGTAGCTTTGTGCAGGCGTACAAAGTATGTTGTTTATTCAATTAGGGAGTTATAATGCTGCTACGTACGCAGCAAGTGACCATTATTTCATTCCACAGTATTTACCGACTATAAGGCAATGCTCAGTTTAGATAAACATACTGTTATACATCCATCATATTGCTCTCTTATATTTGCATCAGTACAGCCGTGCTTCCCACCTGGTTTTCGAAACGATGTTGACTCCATGCATCACACATTTAGACACGGGGCTTGTCTTTGAAAAATGCCAACCGTGCGGAACAAAATTACTGGACTCAACCCTGTTATCATAAACTGTCGAGAGGACGCTACTGAAGTTTCCATGCGCAGCCGCTGTTAATTTTCTCAGCATGCCCTAGAAGAACAGCAGGCAGCACGTCATGACGGCTGCGTTGGAACGAAGGAGGGAACAATCACAACCAGTCTCGGAATTCGCCCCCTTGTGGCCTGTTGCGCTCGCGCGGTTTCATACAAAGTTGGCTCGATATGTGGACGGCTGGAATGGGGGGATAGGGCCAACTATTGTTCCTACTAGCTGCCAGATTCTTTTGTAAGGGGTATGCTGGGGAAAGGGCTTGCCGTGTGGCGGTGTGTTGCGATGCCAATGCGAAAGTGCCGTGATTTTGATATTGGGATTAATCGTGTACTGCACTGATTGTATAATTCATAGCGTTCCATTCCACTGAATCCATGGAGTTAGGAAATCAAGGTGAAAAAAGTTTATGAAATATTTACAGAATATCTGTGATATCACGCCTTGAGTCAGTATAACTGACATTTGATACGTGGTACCATGCAATATTTCCTAGTGACTGCTTCGTAGTGTAACAACTTGTCACAATGCATTAGCAGTAATCGTTGCCTGAGGCTGAAATATATATCAGCTGTGGCACAAAACATTCAATGAAATATAAAGACGAATTAAGACTGTTGTTTGACTTGGATGCACGGGCAACGCCAACGGAAATTATTTTTCATCGAAAGCAGCTGAACAAAACATCCAAACTACTCCTCACAAGGGTCTAGTGGATCCCACTAATTACGGTCATTGACAGTGTGACTATCGCCGGCAACTCAGGAACAGACTCGGGTGTTGCGAGACCCTCACCAAAAGGCGACCGGGCACTGCACTAAGCTTACTGGACCGATTCGAACCTCACCAGGCAGCACTCTATCGCTCGGACTGAGCCGAAGGGTGTACGATTTCTTCAAGAAGTCATTGCTAGGCTAAATCACCTGATCTCGGTAGTCTACCTACCGCAGACACCGGACAACTCGAGTCATGCGAGTCGAGTCACTCCAGTAGTAGACCGCTAAGTCTTTAAAAAAATCCGAATAGAAGTTGCATACCGAAATATTGTATTAACAGAACAAGTATGTCAAAGATTTGAGTCCAAACAAATGAGCTATGACGGGAAACGGACGAGTTGTTAAAAAAAACGTTCATAAATGTACCACAAAAAAGCCTGCCAGTTACGGGATGAGAGTTCATGGTACAAAGTAGCAACGATCTTATTAAAAGCAGCAAAAATGAGGATTATGGAAAACCAATACTGAACTTCGGTACGTGAGTCGCTCACTCGTAATTCCCCGTAACACTGATCACCGGTCAAACATTGACCATTAAAATACCCATACTACAATTCATACAGGCAGTGGCAGAAATACGTCGCACTCCGACCAGAGGACATGTGCACCGTATCCAGTGTTAGAAAAACAAGGCACACACACGCCGCACCGACGCGCCCCAGCCCGTCCGTCCATTATAAACACGGCGACATGTCGAGCTCTCAAACGACAATCCAGTGATATCGACACGGTCCAGTCTCAGCGTGTCGAGGCGTCAAAGTAAACACGAGTGTAGCAAAACTGATAAAACAGAACGAAATGTACAACATGCCCACCCATCTCGCGACGTTCACAGACCGACGCATCATGCTTTTTGGGCGAAACAATGAGGTTGGATCCTGAAAGTTACTCGTGATCAGTTCGCCATTCCGCAACCAGAATATGAGCGTAATTAAAAAACGATTCATATTCTCATCTAACCATCCGTATCACACATCTCGCGTCTCAACAGCTACGAAACGCCACGCAATACGGAGCCACCAAAGTGGGCTCGTGTAAGAAGTCCGCCCAAACCACTGTGACCATCACTCATCACCACCTACCCCTGAGTCTATCGCATGAGACACCCCATCGTCACACGATTGCACGTCACGAGCGATCCGGCCGTCCCAGCTGCAGCCGAGTGCACCTTTCCCTCGCTCCAGGCAGCCAGTAAAACCTCTACGAGACACCGCCATCGGACGGCTGAGCGATGGCCAGCACGCGCTTATTGTGCAGGATCTGCTCTATGAGGGCGTCGTCCGTGGCGCGGCTGCTCAGGTCCTCCTCCGGGGTCCAGGAGAGGTCGTTCTCGAGACGGTAGGCGCCCCGATACTCGTGCGGGCATGCACTGCCCCATTCCTGTAAACACAACGACCGGGTCAGTGGTATAGTGATTGGTAATCATTCATCACGAACAATCACAAATCAAAAGTTATAAAAACATGTGAAAAGCTTCACTTTTCGAAGCCTGGAATAACAAATAGTCCGTACCTGAGGCGAAATCATAGACATGTAGCGTTGGCCGTTGGGACGTTCGTACATGTAGTACATGTTGCCGGGGATCTTCTTGCAGTTGCACGTCACGTGGTGCAGGTCGTTGTTGCGTTTTGCCTCGCCCAGCACCTTTTCGGCCTGAGCCTGCAGAAAGCGGATCTGCTCCACAATCACCTGCAGTTTGTTACCGACATTGGCCCGCACAAACGAGTCCGCCTGAAAAATAAAATAAGTAACGTGTTAGCCGGCTTTAATAATTTGGAGAAGACTGCCTGACTAGTTCAGTTGAAAGAAAAGCTAGAAAATAAAAAATGCCACCTCATAAGACACATAAATCATGAATGTGTGGTATAAATAGCAGTGATTCATCTTTTTTACACTAATGGGCGACAGTCCTAACCACACGTCTCATATCGAAACTACCACAGGTGGCAGGAGGCAATGAAAGTTGTACCCACGCTAGATGTACCGCGGTCCGCGATTGATCGGGCCCGACGAGTCAGAACGTTACTCCGGGGAATGAAGGAAGGCCGTGCAGTGTTGGAACTGTCGTTTTAGGTCCTGGTCCGGAGAATGAAACCCGTCCGGAGAACGGGCCAGCTTTTAGAACAGCCAATGGCAAACCTCTAGGGTTGGCCTACTAAATGTGATAAATAATAAGATCAGTGACTTTTAACGCCATCCCTGTATATACACCTTTTTGCGTTGTTCGATGGCCAATCAGCAAAACCCATTCGTCCGATCAGCACATAGGTGGCGCCAGTGAGAGGCATTCCAGCAAAACCCTCAGCATATGGGCAAAACGGAATGCTGATCCCACTCCACAATTCGTCAGTTGGTATTACCTTCGCTATTCGCCATAACTAATTGAACTCCGGCAAAACCTTTGACGATTTGGATAAATGCTTCGTCATTCGTTAATATCCCTTCGTCTTTCACCAAAACATCCCCATGCTAATTTCGACATTCCTCATAACATTTCGTCAAAACTAAAAACAAATCGCCCCTTTACAGAGAAGTATAAATATGACCAGTGACCACGTTTATACAGTGCAGTGCGACGCATAGGTGGCGAAACTCGTAGGCCATTTATCCACATAAAAAATGGTAGCGTTCATGAGCGCCATAGGTAAGTACAATGTAGATGAACGTAGCTGACATGTTATCGGCTGATTGAAAAATGGACAGGCAACAGAGCAACAGGCTAGATAAGTTCACCCCGCCTCAAACACCAAGGTGTCACCAAGGAACAGGCAACAGACTGGTTAAGTGAGCCACGCCCTAAACACCAAGGTGTCCGGCCGGCAGGGCCCGGCTCGCCATCTGTCAGCCATTCCCTCGCGAGTCCGACCGGCGCGGCCGCCCGAGGCGTTGTCCCATGACATCGCACGGGCAGTGACGTGATAACGACGGCCGACTTCGTGGTTTGTATCGAAGCGCTTAGGAGTCCGACGCTCAACCATCTACATGCCTACTCGGTATTGTGCCGGCAGTCTCCTCGTAGCTATCGTATAACTGCCTTTTTCGGAATCCAATGGTTAATTGGTTGCAAATTGCGCTGGAACTGTCGCAAGCCTCATCCATGAATGTGTGATTAACGTTAAACATTTAATATGGCTAGATAAGCACTACATCATTGACATTTTGATCATTGACGAAAGTTTTAAATCAACAGTCATTGTTTACGCACAGTACCGATGAATTTTGCACAACGAGTAACCATTTTGTGAAATGTCGAAGCATTATTACAATCTGACAAAGTGTTTTGCCTATGACGAACATTGTGCTCAATGACAAAGAGTTATGCAGAATGGTTAAATGGAGTCCAGCCTGTTTTGCCGACCGTCAAACAGTGATGCACATCGCCGATGGGTTATTCTGAATGACGCTTGTTCAAACTGATGCCGAAATGGTTATGACGATTGGCCATCGAACAACGCAAAAAGGTGTATTAGGTGTAATAAAAGCACTTGTTCACCATCACACAGGCTGGAAAATCTACATGATTCCAGGTACCGGAGCAAAAGTTTGTAAAGGAGAACAAAATCTTTTGGATCCGACTGGGACCAGAAAAGGGTCTTATTTCCAACATTGAGGCCGTGTCCTCTGGTTATACCACCATACTGAAGGGTCTATCTAGAAGCAGATCAGGCCATTGTCCCTACAGCCGAGGCACTGGCTGACTGGCTGGTACAGGGTGGTCGAGGAACACCCTGCTATTGGTCAGCTTGGATACAAGAACATCCAGCACTGCATGCGGGCCCCAAAGCCAACTGCAATACGACGGCGGTTTTATTAGCAGGACTTGCCTTTTGCACTTCCTTTGCCAGGTCAACAAGGTCTGTTGACAGTGCCTTTGATGCATGTTTGGGATCCACCAGCTGGTTAATCCCATCTTGCTTTAGGTTCCTCAATGCCACTGTAAACACGTTTAGATGAGTGAGAGCAAGAGCATTATCAAAATGAGCCAAATACTGAATTTCTGCCTTTTACAACAATATGCCATCAGAATAAATATAATAGTTTAATCATTTACCTTGATTCCCTGAAGCTGCAGCATTGGTGGAAACAATGCCATTGCCTTGGGGAGAAGTTGACATCTTCAGCTACGAAAAATATATATTTATGTTCTTTTATTATGCCTGTGAAAATAACAAAGATAAGCATATCATCTTACATATCATGCAGCGGTGGCTTAGAAGATTGTATTTGAGATGTCAACCTAATTTTAACCTTCCAGGCGGTGGGGGGGGGGGCATTTTTTGCCCCCCCCCCTTTAGTTTTTCGATATATCTCCAGAACCACTGCGCCGATCGTCACCAAACTTTCAGTACCCTCCCGTGAATAGCTATTGCACATCGTGACCAAAAATTTCTTCAAAGGCTATGATAGGTTGGCCGATAATGACGGCAGAGTGACGTCATTTCTGCCATTTTCGACCCAAAAAAGGTTTCGCGGGAAGAGCTGTCAGGCCTACAGCTTTAGAGATACAGAAAAATGTTTCAAACATAAAAGGTGTAGAATAAAGAGTGCTACAAAACTGATATCTCGGATTTTTGAATTTTTTGGATTTTGAGCCCAAAAATAAAAAATAATTTTTTTTTGAACATAATAGCCAAAAAATCCAAAATTTTTTTTGAATTTCGAAAAAACCGGAATATATGTGATAGTCCTTACCGCCTTCTATCTACATACCAAATTTGAGATCGATACCTCTTTTTTTGGCCAAGTTATAGCGAAAAAACTGTTCAAAATTGATGACGTCAAATTTTCAAACTCAATTTTTAGCAATTCTAGACCTCGTAGCGCAAAACACAGACCACCATTAGACTCCCCGTGACGAGCTGCATCGAATCAATACCCATTTTATGCAAAACTAACAACTTTGAAATTTGACCTTTTTTGACCTGACCAGTGACCTTGACCTGACCTCCACCAGAAAGTGACCTAAACCGTGCCTGGTGGTCTTATAACCAACACAATTGAGTTGGAAATTAAAAATTGGGCATAAAACATGCATCGCACAACCTTAGTGAAGTTGGGTTCATGTGGTGAGTGGTACTGGTGACCCTTGGTGACCTGACATGTGACCTGACCTGGTATGACCAGTGACCTCTAATAGCAACATATGTACTAGACAACTGACGCCCTATCGCTGATTTTCGACAAAATGCGTTTTACTCGGTGTTATAGCGCTTTCCCTAGAAGACCCGTGAACGGTGAAACATTTTATCTTTGACCTGACCTGTGACGTCATCGGTGACCCCGAGGTCAATGAAATTTGGTTTCCCTCAACAAATTTGACAGGGCTATCGAACGCCGTTTGAATTTTCCGGATCCGTCCAGTAGTTTCGGAGAAACGGGGGGGGGGCAAAAAATGCCCACCACCACCGCGCGGAAGGTCCACCGCAGTGCCGGGTTAACACATGCCCTCAGCTCTGATGCCTGGCTTATGCATAAGTTACTGTCCCTCTCACACAGTCAGGCACTGCAGAGTGCAGTCAGTAGTTACAGTCTACACCAGAGCTGCAGTTACTTGTTAGCTATAATAAGCAATGCACAAATGCTCCAATTTCCAAATGCAAGTTACCTAAGTAAATATGCTTCAAATGCAAGATACACAACTAAATTTATAGCTTTCATAGTGGTGTCACATTTCTGTTCTTGACAACTGAACTTCTCCCAACAGACAATTAACTAGGAGCACAGGGTTAAGAACAGCTTTTGTCAAATGTCAAGTGAAAGTGACTACATGATATCGTTAATTGAAACATTAGACTTTGGTGAATCTTTTGCAAGGTAAGTGCTCAAGATGATTTTCCATGGTTTTAGCAGAGATTCCATCTCTGCTATGTTTTCAGTCGCAATGTGTTTGAAATGTGTGTATTTTGATTCCATGGTTATGTTGCAATATCTGAGCATAAAATGCTTGGTCGTAGAGCTGCTGTAAATGCTAGCGTGGCTGTGGAACTTTAAAACCATAAACCATCACAAGAGTCCTGGGCCCTGTTTCATTGCTTATCAGCTGATGCTAATTGCTAGGGGTATCATATCATGGTAGTTGGTACTGTGTAGTGTGTTTCCATGGAAAAATCAACAGACTCTGGCACTCAACATGAGAGCATTCCAGTTTGTTCATGCTTCTATGGAAACCCAACACTGCAATACCAGTAGCATCAGGAAGCAGCAAGCCAAGATGACACTAACTTGTGTTGTCCCACACTCACTGATCACTCAACTGTCAAACTCGTGTAAATTAGGTAAGTCACAGATTCTGATGACTGAGAACACAATACCAAAGTCTTTAATAATGCAACACTATGGTTAAGCTTCTAAGTGAAAGTATTACGCAGTTAACTCAAAAGTCACATAAACATTATGCATCAAGACAGAAGCTCAAACTGAAATGAGGTACAATAGCAAGAACAATTCGGTTTATAGGACTTAGGAAATTCAGTTCAACCCAGTTGAACAACCAGTTATGAGCTCGCTAAGCTATGTTATATAACACGACGCGGGCGAAATTCCACAGCCGCGTTTAAATAGGGATTGTTGCAAGCTTATAACTCCACCCGCGACGTTGCAATAGATGCCAATAGTGCTTTACAATTTTTAAAATCATGCTTTCAAAATCTACCAGGAGCAGAGCACTGCATCGAAATTATCACAAAATTATGCTGTAGCCTCACACAAATCTTCACCAAATTCCACAGGGATCAGGGATGGAGTGAGTGATGATTGTGTTCATCAGCGTCCCTTCGGGACAAAGCTGGGGCTGATGTGTGCATTTAAACCAATGACAGCAATCGTTTGCAGTTGGATTTGTATATGAAGAACATAAAAGATAAATTCATGCGCCAGTTTTGAAGAAACTGCGCAGCCTCGCTTGGTACCGTTCAAACCGTTTCATCTTTCAAAATGGTATTATGACGTCATGATTCCAAACCCTGAAGCATTTCTGGTCGATCATAAAACAATTTTATAACAAGTTATAAAATCATAGCTGGAAGATCCGTAAATTGATAAGAAATATGTTTTTGGGATATGCAAAATCATAAGCTTATGGTAAATTATCCTGAGGAAAGTATGTATTACCCATTACCTTAAGTTTTATTACGTCAATAGGAAAAGGATATGTTTGATGATGACCCAGAACCACGAAAACCTAAACTTTATTCCATTCGGCTCCGATACCCCCCCAATATCAACGCAGTGGAATGAATCGAAATTTTTTACGGAAAACTAGCTGGAAGATGAATGAAGGATTTTTTGTTACTCAGCCATAGATAACCAACTCAATATATTTGATGGGGTTCGGACATTTTTCAGTCAAAGCCGCCAGTTGTGCCGGTTCATTTCACAGGTTTGCTGTCCTAATCTGAAGAAGGGCCTGCTATTATAAAGATCAATTCTAAAGTTGAGGACCAGGATGGATGAAGCTAACCTGAATGATTATATGATACAGGTGACTTAATCAAATAAACATTTAACTGACATCAATTGTGCTGTGCATAAAGGACAAGACTAAGAGTGCATGCTGTCTGTGGTGCATGTTCAGTGTTATCACTACCAGGCCGAGGCTATTTCAATTTGCCTCCAGGATTGGTTGTCATGATCAGAGCTGCAGAGTCAGTCATAGTCTGTTGGAGTCAACTGTTCTTCCCATAGTCAGAGTTGCCAAAATCCTACCAACCCTGACTCCGGAGTTCGAGCGCCTTACACTGGATTGCTCAATGTCATGCCCTGCGGCCTGCACCTGTTTGATTGGTAATATTATGCTTGTTGACCTTTTTGAAATGAAATTTTGTTGAAAAAGGTGATGCTCCTGTTTTGTAGAAGATTTTCAGCAAAAGAAGCAGAAGCCTTTGGCAGAGCCTGCTTTAATTCTGCATGTTATTGAATGTTAAGGCATATTACTGCAATGCAGTACCTTGGAACGCACAAGGGTGAAAGGATCGTTTCAGTCAAAATAAAACATCCCTCTTATGACCTTTATTATCATGATTGGATTTGAAGAAAATCATCTAGAGTCAGAGCTGGAGTTCGAGTCACATTCAATTTTTTTAAGCTTGAGTCAGAGTCAGAGTCACCTAAAAAATCCATCAACTCAACGGCCCTGGTCACGATGATTGCTGAAATAAGTACTATGAAATGATAGATTATTGAATACTATACCTAACCTGGAAGCAATTCCTCCTTCATAGTTCAGTTTCTTAGGAAAGATTCTTAGAAAGTTTCTCTGATTAAGTTTCTTCAGTTTAACTTTGAAAACTTCTCCAGAAAATCCATGGTTTGTGCAAAAAATGAATTATGTGTGGACACTGGATTCTGGTGAGGATATTGGATTTGATCAATATGTACTCTTTAAGTTCATGGATGTAAATATATTTATAGGCTGTTAATATATTTAATGCTTACTGCTCCTTCAGTCTTGTTACATTTCATTGACAGTTTTGATTCAATATCCATTGAAGGCTCTTGCATCAACAGCAGAGTACACCATACTGAAATGACCATCTGTGCCCCACAGCTGGAGCAGGTGAACGCTGCCTTGGCAGCCGCACCAGACAATGAGGAGCTGCGAGAACTCGCCTCCAGTCTGACTGAGCTGATTGGTCTGACACAGCTGCAGCACAGCAGCTCTCACCAGACAAGCTCTGTGGAACCGACCTCTGAACAGGGTCTGACTGCCAATGCCAGGGGAGGGCAGGCGACCTCTTTACAAAACAGTGGACCTGCTCCAACAGAGCCATCAAGAAGCCTTGATGATGAAATGGCACTATTCAAGGTAAGTATCAAGTCTTTGCTTTCTTATCATTCTGAAGTACCAGCATAGATTGTTCGTGTATCCATCAGATACATGATTGCCATGTGTCATATTTTGTGTTTTGGCATCTGTTCCCTGCTTCTTTGTCCTTTACTATGCCCATTTTCCCTACCGCAGTCCGGACCCGTTTCCTACGCATACCGACACCTGTCTGTCCGCCAGATGGAGATTGAGGCGGTGGAGCGGGGGCAGCAGACCGAGCACTCTCCGACCGAGAGCTCGGCAGCCGGAGACGATGGGCCGTCGCCACCGCCGCCTGGTGGCAGCGCCGAGAACCTCAGTCTGAGGCAGCAGCAGCAGCGGCATACTGCTGAGCTAAAGGTGACACTAAAGGGTTTTAGAAGAAACATCAATAAGTCATAAACTGAGTGGTAGGGTAGCTCATGGAAAAAGTAATAAAGAGTTAATGTAGAAAGTCACTCATGTAGAGCTCCCTTTCAGGTCTATCATCAGTTAATCAAAGTTTTATGTAATTAATTCATTTACACTGATCATTTATTCATTTACCACGGCTTTATCGGTGTCTCCTGGTGTATATATCCATGATGTCTCAGACCCAATTTCCATCAGCAGCGTGGCCAGCTGGCAAACTTGTGTGGCTATGAAAGTCAAGTAGCTTACATCGCAAACTGCTTGCATCACGCTTCCAGTAAGCCATTAAAGGGACTATCCCACCTTTAACATGGGGTTTGAGTTGAGATAGCCAAGTTTGCGGCGAGGTTCAGAAACCACTATCTATCTAGGTTGCAACCCCCGCGGCCTCTTGGTGTTGAAGAAATTCGTTCCCTTCATTTGAAAATGGGCCTTGCGCAAGGCCCTATCTTCAACATGGAGCGACCGTTAGTGTGACGTCACCTCGTTTAGTCATTCTGATTTAAATGGGTTTGTTCGTTGAAAAATCGCTTAAAACTTGGTCTGAACTTTGTTGTGGTGCCTACAGAGTAAAAAGCATCAGCTTTATGACAGTAATTTGGCCTGGGGAAGGAGGTAATTTTGGGCTGTGACGTCACATATTTGAAAGTTTGTGTTTGGAATATGGGAAGCCTAAGATGTTTAAAGGGACCCTCCCACCTTCAAAAAAGTTAATGAATTGGCATGAAAGTGATGTCGCTCGATTCAGAAAGTGCAAAAACAAATATCTACCAAATTTCACCAAAAAATATTCACCGGTTTTCAAGATATTAGACTTTTACTTTTGTTTACTTTTTTGGGATCTCCGCTGTTCCTAGCGACTTCATTTTGGAAGTGCGGCGTTCGCGGCAGATGTTGCGCGCAAATAGCATATACCACCACTGCTTTACAAAGATGTTAGTATAAGGTTTAAAATCGTTATATCACCGCTGACGTCACAAATTCTAAGGGGGCAGCTCAGTGCATTAGCCCCTTAGAATCCGAAAACTGTAAGTTTGAAATTCCATATCTCCGAATTAAAGCATTTTTGGATGTTGTGAGTGCCCAAACCGGTATTTGCAGGCCATGGCCACCAATTTGGCTATCTCAACTCAAAACTAATGTTAAGGTGGGATGGTCACTTTAATGAAAAAATAAATGCCAGAACCGTGTTCCTGGTCATCCAATCTATAAAGTCGGGCACAGTTTAACTGGTTTTAACAACATTTTAGAAGGTGGGATAGTTCCTTTAAACCTTCGTGAAACTTTGCTACGCAAATGGAAATAGTTTGGAAGTGTGGTAGCCAGAATTAAAAAACCGACATTGACGTCACGGAGTAAATGATGCGCTCAAGTCGTTGGTGACTTGCAAGCTTTTACGGAGCGCATGTCGCCCAGAAATGTACACCCGCCAGTCTTTGGCCTGCTTTAGGCCTGTCTTTCGTATGAGCGCGTAGCACATACCGTGGTTACCAACATGCCTCCTTCCTAATACAAACACGTAAACATATTGAAATATGCAACCACCATGACTGACCACACAGTTATCACTGGTGTCCTGATACGGCCTCCATCGTCTTTCTAAATCTCATGCATTTATACCTCCCAACACTTTGCTTCGCGCCTTAGTGTTTTCGTTGGTGTCCTAACCGATGTCACGCCCCCGTGTTTGCAGTCGAGTCCTAACCGATGTCACGCCCCCGTGTTTGCAGTCGAGTCTGGAGCCCATGGTCGGGACGAGGTGTTCGGCTCCGTTCACACAGTCGTGGGGCCAGCTGGAGTACCACGCCGCCGTCATCGAGGCTGTGGATGACGCCAGTCTGGAGAGCGCCACCACTCCGCAGGATGTAATGGTACGAGTACCGACTGGCCTGTGCCACCCCGCAGGATGTAATGGTACGAGTACCGACTGGCTTGTGCCACCCCGCAGGATGTAATGGTACGAGTACCGCTGGCCTGTGCCACCCCGCAGGATGTGATGGTACGAGTACCGACTGGCCTGTGCCACCCCGCAGGATGTGATGGTACGAGTACCGACTGGCCTGTGCCCTTGACTTGATGCAACGGATGGAGAGGGGGGGGGGGGGGGTCAAATGTCTTTTGTATCGACTGGACTATAATCGAATTTCCGCTTGGGTAATTGGATGGCTTGAACTTGGAGTTCGAAGTTCTTAACTGAATGCCAACCAGCCAACTATCAATGCGATGACTGATGTATAATTAAAAGCATTTTAGCTGTTTCCCATACACTGTAAGGGTATCCATTTCGACTGTCACGCCTGAAATGCATTTATGCTACTCGGCGTATGGTATTCATCATGTTCAAATCGCCTTCGCCATATTCGGCCCCTCAATGGCCGTTTTCAACACCATCCCATCAACACGTTTCTACATGGGATCAAAAGGACGTCTAATGGAACCTTTTGACCCCTTTGGAACACCTCCGTCCGGTGTGGCGGCAGGTAATAGGAGCATTCACAGCCGCTCCGGCGGTGTTAGGTGGCTCGCCACGATCAAGGCCGGGTAAAGTGAGGCGCAGTAGACGGTCTTATTGATCGAGCGCTCCACCGAGTAATGTAGCGTAACGATCTAGTGCCGCCGGCCGTAACACGAGCGCGCAAACACGCTGGGTGAAGCGGCACTGAGCGTGAATGCCTACTGGGCTGGACGACTGCCGCCCTTCTTTTGGGTGATTCGTCGGCGAGGCGTTCAATCGCCTCGATGGGGCCTTTCAAATGGGACACGTCTATGGGATAATGCATTCGGACCTGACGGCCGCAAAAAAAGTCGTTAGTTTCTGTCAGACAGGGTGCCCTTCAAGTGGAACCATTATCGTCCATTTGTCGACCCAAGAAGCTGCCAAAGCGATGAGTACGTGCTCGGGCTGGCATTTCATGCTTGGCAAATGTAATTATGTCGATTGATCTGTTGACCTTACGTTTTTCAGGTATGAAGAACGAAACAGTAATAAAGAGACCAATATCTACCGACACCATGCTGTTGCCTATCTGAGATGACATATAATCCAATGGTGTTGATTTTGATCGCATTACAAACGACGCGAAATAAGCACCTCGCATGTCTTCCAATTCCGCTGCCACATCTGTTAGTGTTTTCCAATTCGCTCACCGGCCGATGTTTTGTTCCAGCTGCGCGTTCTGTTCAGCCACCCGACCCAGAGGGTGATGCAGCCGTGCCGGTACTACCTGCGCCATACGTGTAGCTACGGAGACGAGTGCCGCTTCTCTCACGGTCACCTCGTGTCCGTGGCGGACATCAGGGAATACAGGTAAATATTTATGACTGCTGCCAGGTGAGTGTCAATGATGTGGCGATAAATAACGTACAAGCCCGGACATTTCGGTGAGTGTGGGACAGGTAGCAGTGGCATTGGCAGCACAACAGAATTGCATAGCTATAAACAATACATAGTGCTATATTACATTTGCGCCCCGCGTGCTTCAGTGCCAGCGGTCGTAACATTACCCAAAGCACATTCCCCTCTGTCGCATTATTTAATGCAACATGGCCTGTTGAGTGTGTTCCACAGGCGTCGGTCGACAGCCGTCCCTCGTGACCCTTCCCCTCTTCTAACTACGATTGGATACCAGAACTGATCCTCAGCACTGTGTGATGATGGTCCAGTTTCCGTTCTCTGCACTTCTCACGACCATCCCTTCTGGCAGCGACTCGGCGTCAGAGCTCACCGCCGGCAGTGCGGTGCTGGTGCCGCGTGACTCCGACTCGGGCCTGTGGCAGCGCGCTGTGGTGCAGCTGGTGCACACAGACACGGAGGAGGCCACCGTGCGGCCCACCGGGCACCGGCACACACAACGCGTGCCGCTGTCACAGCTGGTACCGCTGGCGGCGGCGGACGGAGCCGTGACGGGAGATGGGTAAGTCTGGGGTGTTTGGGTGTTGGAAGGATTCACAGAAGGAATACATAGTGCTTAATGCCTGGGGAATACCTAAATCAAGACAGTTATCGGTTGTCTACGCTGTGATTTAGCACTTTATTTTGTGCGCTCACAATGGGATTTTCCGGGGATCACTTGTGCTACTATATTGTTCTGTGCTGCTGTATTATCTATTGTGCTTGCACAAAAAAGTTTATGCGATTTGCGATTAACCAACGATGTTCAATTTCGTCAACTAGTGTCGTTCTCCCTAAAGTGTAGCGTGTACTTCCCTCTACTATCTCAGCCGTTTTTTCCTCAGCTCTGGCGCCTCCAGCTCCGACAGTGAGACAGAAAACGAGCCCGGACGGGAACCGGAACCAGATCCGGAGCCGGACCCTGAGCAGGTCGAGTTCTGCCCTCGACTGACCTGGAACGGCACACTGGGCTCCACCAGCCAGCTCGGCGCCTGGGAAAAGCACACAAAGGTATGGGTGCTCTCCGACATTCTCCTTAGTTGCAGCACGGATGAGAAAATTCTACCAGAAATACATTTCCCATCCATGGTATCCTCAGTCCCCTGTAGCTCGCAAGGGTGATTAACTGAGTCCAAGGTGTGTTTCGCTGCTCATCGATCCTGTGCGTCTGGCTGGTGTAAATGTTGTTGCTGGTGGCTAACCAAACGGTAATCTTGTGTCCTGTGTTTATTTTCTTGTTTGTTTCTGTGCCGTGACAGCGGTAAACACAGGCAAGGCTCCGACGTCATTAATTATGCAATTACTGTCGGCGGTTGAAACTTAGGTCGGAGTTAGCAAAACTTGAGAAAATGTGTTATAGCTACCTGCCAAAAGTTGTAGCTAACTAATAATCGTGTCTAGAAGCATATACGATTAATTATCCTGTCAAACCTTCAAGTACTCCGGCCTACCATGATGCATCTGTCACCTCCATTCTCTATATTTACCCCGGTAGAGCTGCCGCTAGTATCCCACGCCCCTGTTCCACAGGGTATCGGCTCCCGGCTGCTGCAGCAGATGGGTTACGTTGTCGGTACGGGCCTGGGGCCGCAGGCGGACGGTCGGGTGGAGCCAGTCGAGGCGCGGGTCTACCCTGCCGGCAGGTCGCTGGGTGAGTGAGTGCCGAAAATGTCTGGGTATTGTGGGGAGTGAGGGGTAGGACTGGGGATAGGGAATTTGAGGGTTATGTGGCTGGAGCAGGGTAGGACGGACTGCCCGACATGGACGAAAGGCCTGAATGTGTAGGACTGAAAGAGATAGACGATCGTAGCTAAAGAGTACGGGCATATGAGGCAGTCCACTTTGGTTTGTACCGTTTTCCTAGCTATATAAATGAGTACGAGCCATATGGAATAGTTTGTATGTTCAAGCAATTCCAGACTAAGCAATTGCATTTTGATCAAACTTTCAATCCAGTGCAGTCTTCGTCGTAGACTGGTTGGTTCCGGTTTTGCTTCGAAACAACTACCGGGTACTGAAAATACTCTGTACGTAACTGGAGCGTAGTAGTTCGCCCGAAACTTAGTATTTGTTATTCACACGACCGACAAACTTGGGAGTTTGTGAGTTCGTCTCATTAACTCTCTGCAACAGCCTCCCGTCTCGCAGAACTGCTGTTCCGACGGTTAATTGGGCCTTGGCTGAAAATGAATGGAAACTGCTCCCGTGGGGCCGATGTGAGGTTATTCATTTTTCATTTTATCTCTCATACTCTACTTCATTAAGATCCAGATTGTTGTTGGCTGCAGCTCAGCCAACTACGGTATTTATGCCATTTTGACTATCCAACGCTTATAAAATCATCATTCAATTGAGCCGTTTACCCCACACAAAGTCTGTCGATGATCAGTTGATTGATATCGAATTTCTCTACGACATTCAATAGATACCGCTTCCCTTATGGCTCTCATTTAGACTGAGGAAGCCGGATAATTAATTTTAGCTCTGACCTTTCTCAGGGTCATAAAGCCACGCGGCTGGTTCGCCGAACTGTCGGCCGCACGGGCGTCTCTCTTTGTCCGCACTGTCGCTGGATGATGGCAGCGTGACACGGTGCCGGCGGGGCCGTCGTTATTTATTATACTTACGTCACTCACGTAGTCCATTAGGCCTTGATAACCCGCTAACTTCGCCGTAGTATTCCATCAGCTTTGACGGTGTATAGGTTATTGAAGAGGTAACTGTGGGGAGGAACATTTTTACTTATCGGTAGAAGTGAATAGGGATTCAGCACTCAGCAGTAAGTGTTTAGCCTATCCAATATCACGCGTCACAGAAAACATGAAAAAACGATTTCATTTAGCAGCTCAATTACTAAATACTTAATCTAACATGTCTTTCTGATACTTTAGCTTCAACTTATAAACATCGAAGTACACCCTACATGTAACACCCGCATTCATGCGGTGGAATTAGAGGATAATGAAGGCACGAACGTGGAGTTCCCGTGCAACACGTGGCCTAGTATTCAGCACCCAGGGGACGGGTTGCGTGCAAAGTTGGCACCGGAGGGGATGAACAGGCACGCAACAGTGACGTTTGATGGTTTGGGGTAAGTGTTGACAGTTGATACCTCGGGATAGTTATCGCTCAACAGGATACTAAACCTGATGATACTGTGGGTCAAAAGTGTTTTAATGCATTCGTTACTTTCGTTGCTCTTTTCTGATGATCGTAATAAGAATGAATCACAACGCATTCAACCAAGATCCACACGTAAATCATGAGCACCCATCGACCGTCCTTTGGGGAAATTCTGGTGTCACATCCGTTTGTACTGAGCTCGGATGTTTATTTCAGCATGTACTGGGTCGACAAAAAGCAGACGAGGCAAAACGTACAGTCCCTCGTGTTCTGGCTATATCTATTTTTGACCAGCCAGTGACTTGCGGTCGATAGTCAATTTGAACGGCGGATGCGATTCTCGAAATGGTTATTTTTACGCCCTCGACTACCGCCCTTTCGTTCTATAATTGATGTTTGGTCAGCTCCGAATCGAATGGGCGGTATTGACATGGTGTGCCACCACAGCTCTCTCCCTCTCCCCTCTGCTAAACCTCCTTCCTGCTCTCCTTTTTCCTTTTCTCTATATATCTTTCTCTGTTTCTTCTTCTCTTTCTCTCCCTATCTCTCATTTTCTCTCTCCCCTCCCTCTCTCCTTCACTGTCTTTTCCTCTTTCTTTTTCTCTTTTCCCCTCTCTTTTCAATATACTCTCCAATTCTCCATGCCCTTCTTACTCTCCACTCTGTTGGGCTGTTGCTTGGCTGTACATCCCAAGCAACGACACATTTCACCACGCAACTTCCCCCACACATCTCCTCACCTTACTTTAACACCCCCCCCCCTCCCATCCCTTCAGACCACTGCATGGCGCTGCGTGAGGGCTCAGCGGCCGCCGGTCAGTCATGTCTCCTCACAGTCGAGAAGAGACTGGAGCGCGATCAGCGACGACAGCAGAAGATCGGCGAGAGAGCCTACGAGCGCAGCAAAACGCAGAACGCCATGTTTGACGTCATTAACCGGGTGATGGGCGCAGAGGAAGGTGAGTGCAGGGTGTCACAGAGGGAATGTGGTTTAATTTACAGGGGTTCGTTGAAAGATGAGTTTGTTTTAGTTTGTGAGCTGAGAGTCTAGCTGGCAACGAGACCCGGGGATCCCCGAAGAGGCGCCTGCCCGTCCAGTTACTTCGTACTAACGTTTCAGCAAACCCATTAAAAAGGTCTTTCGATCGTTTCGTAGGCTTGCCCGTAGGCGTTTTGGAGTGGAATTTCTTTGGAATTCCTTAGTCACCATTGGATTTGGAGCTAGACATTTCTCAGACCAAAATTATCTGGTTCATTGTTAAACTGCAACAAATTTTGGGATATTGATTAGCTCTGGCGTAAATTATCGTGACAATGTCCTCTGATTGCCTCGCTCTCTGAATCCATATCTGACTCCTTTCCGTAAGTGAGTAATAACTTACCGTAATAGGAGCGATTGGGCCGGTTATGTTTCCGTAAAATGTCATTCAAGCGTCTAATATTTTCAATCGGGACATTTATGTATGACTGCGCTTAATGTCAGCATTACCTACTGTTAGGCGATGAATGAAGTCAGTAAAATCCTGCTGGCATTGGAAATCCAAGAAAAGACGACGAAAAAGGAAGATGTAGGCTGTTTTAAAATGTCTTAATTACATACGAGTAGCGGCCATCGAACATTCTCGATAATAGTATCCTTCCTGCCGATGCGTGGTTCGTAGCCATTTAAACCACCGATGTTCAGCTGAACTTCATTTATATCCAAAATGTATCATTTGTACAAACATTTTCCTCGAGGAAAATCGTCAAAAGCGGACGTGTCTTTAGATACTCGATAGCCTATAGAACGCATATTGCCCCAAAGTGACTGGTCATCAGGGCTGCGTCGCTGATCCAAAATAAGGCTTCCACGTAGGCGGACTAAAGGCGCAATTCCTAGAGGCTTGATGGTCACATTCGGTGAATACACTCTCGTCGACGCCGTAAATACCTCTGTAGGCTGTAAAGTTCAGGGACGCACGTACCATCGATCGGCGTTGTGCATTTATGATAAATGTCCTGCGGGCGTGCCTGTATGAATCGCTTCGTGGAAACGCGTGACCATCAGGAATTGGTGTGGTGTTCGATACGGACGCGGTATACTCCTGTGGGTCAGGGGATGAGCGGTGTCACTCCCCGCTTCCCGCCACTGCTACACGACTCCTGACCGCGGGGGTTGGGGGAGTCGATGGTCTTTGTAAAGTCAATGGTCTTTGTTGGGTCGTGGGACAGAGTTTGCTTTCTGACGTATTCTGAAAAAATGTGTATTTTGTAATGGCCACCAAGGAGCGTGTATGTTGATATGTTGATGTAGTCAAGTAATGGGCATTCGTCTTACAAACATGCATGCAAACACACATACGCTTCGGTGTAGTGTAGGCGTTCTTGCTTTCGCCACGCCCACGGGAGTACTTCCTAATTCCGTAGTCAATTGTCTTGCAACTCAAAACAATGGTATAGTTCTTTCCTGACTAGGAGTGGCGGCGTTGTAAAGGTCACCGCTCCTTGTCTGCTATATCGGCTATTCAGTGGGTGACTCTTCCGTTCCCTGTGGACCCGAGTGGCTGCTGTTGTTCGTGACCGGCTCAATACCAATGGAATGTGACACAGCGAGCGACGGATGAGCCCGCGCTGTGGGCCTTGTAAAGGTCAGAGCGGGTCACCGCCGACCGGCGCCGTGTACTCGGCTGGTCCCGGCGCGGTGACCGTCCGAGCCATCCACTCAGCAGAGATGTGGGGGGATCGGGGCGGAGTGGGATGCTCGAACTCGGCCGCGGCGGGTTTCAGCGGGCCATCGCCGGCGTGATGGTCTCACTGAGCCTTTCAGAAGTGCGGCCGAGCTGGCAGAGTTTGATAGAGTGCGGAGCGGATGGCTTCAGATGAGAGCTGAGCAGCGGAGAGGCAGGGAAAGTTCTGCATATACGCCACATGCTGCCCTTGGGACGGATGGTGGCCAGTTGCTGGCTGCTAGTTTGGGAGAGTTGTGTCAAGTGGAATCGCTACCAGTGAACTGAGTCGACGAAAATGCAACCCGAATCGGTTTCAATTCAAAGTTTCGGACATCTGACGGTCTGAAAAGTTTCGGTGTCGGTGCCATGGCCATGACCTCGCCGCTTTGGTCGGCACTGGTGGTCGCTGTCTGTCACGTCGCAGTTATTGTTGTAACCCATTAATGGGATCAACAACAGCTGCTGGCGAGCACTTTAGGATATTGGTGTCTGAAGTGCTAAAAGACAATTGCCGAATACTTCGTCTGGGTTTACTGTCCAGGCACTTTAGTCTGACTTTTACTGTCTGCTCCTCTTTGATCAGTTTGACGTGAAGAACTTCCGCCCCCTTTCGTGAGTACCACCGGCTGGAAACTATATTCGAACAGGCTGTCGCTGTCGACTTCCGGACCGACCTGATAATTGGTACTTCCAACTGTGACAAATGTGACACCGACTGGTGTGGACAGCTGTTCCAGTCTTTGCTCTCGTGTATCTGGTCGAAGGTCATGCCATGAGGCTTGCTGCAGACTGTGATGAAAAGAACTTATTGCGTCTCATTCAGAAAACGGACGGTCCCTTTATATTTCCAGCCGGTCTTGCGGTCTTGCGGTCTTTCTTGAATATGTGCTGTGCGTTTTCAGCAGTGTTTCGCGGCACCGTATTTCGCAGAAAATTGCAGTGTCATTTTGAAGCCGTTTGCAAAGCGTATGGGATAGCTGTCCTACGGAATCATTAGAATCTGTTGCCACTGCTGGTGAATTTGACTGAGTATTTTGAATTCCGATGGTCGTTGTTTTCCTCGAGTTCGCTCTACAATCAATAGGAAGCTCTGTTCTAATTTCAGCGTCCCGAGCAGTTCGCTCCGCTGACGTGTTTACGTTCACGGTTCAACCGTGTGTGTCTGCGTGCCTCTGTGAGTTGTGGGAACTGTCTGTGAGAGCGAGTGGAGAGAAACGGCGTGGTATTCGGTTCACACGGCAGGTGTCTGGAATGGGTTTTCCTCGCTTCCTTGAAACACAACAGGAACAAAGGGCAGTTGATGGTCTTTGTCGCACTATTGGCATTGACAATGCACACTAATCAATCGTGAGGCTGTGAGTAGTCGTTTCCATGGGTAGGCAATCATGTTTTGCCTCACTGTCATATGTCAATTGATGCGTGAAATGAGAAATCATACGGGTTTTGCTAAGAGAAAATACGAGGATGAATCCCTTTGCTCTGTTTCTCACGCGGCAATGTTGTAGTGTTCCGCGTCACTCTGTCATTGTCTTTCTCTCGTCCCGTCGTTTCTACTTTCGGGATGAACTCCGGTCGTGTTTTCGTTCCACAGCGTTGCTCAACAAGTTCATCTCCTGAGATCGCTGCAATACGACCTTTCTCAACACCTTCCCGTCCACCAACTTCTCTCAACCTCTCACCAACTCCCGCGTAACTTCAGTTGCACCTCGTCCCCCCCTCTCTCTCTCTCTCTCTCTCTCTCTCTCTCTCTCTCTCTCTCTCTCCCTCTCCCTCTCCCTCTCCCTCTCCCTCTCCCTCTCCCTCTCCCTCTCCCTCTCCCTCTCCCTCTCCCTCCCCTCCCCTCCCTCCCCTCCCTCCCTCCCTCCCTCCCTCTCTCTCTCTCTTTCTTTCTCTTTTCTCTCTCCCTCTCTCTCTCTCTCTCTCTCTCTCTCTCTCTCTCTCTCTCTCTCTCTCTCTCTCTCTCTCTCTCTCTCTCTCTCTCTCTCTCTCTCTCTCTCTCTCTCTCTCTCTCTCTCTCTCTCTCTCTCTCTCTCTCTCTCTCTCTCTCTCTCTCTCTCTCTCTCTACCAGTACCACCTTCCTGTTTTGCTCACCACCACCTCCACCTCACCTGTTCTGCACGGCCGTTTCCCGGGGGAGACCCGCAGCTCAGCTGGCCCGCACTAATGACGGCATTACGGCACGACGCCGCCGTGTGTATGTGTGTGTTTGTGTCGCGCGTGGTGGCACCGCGGTGGGATTGGCGCGGAGCCAAACGGCACCCCGTGCCTCGTCCGATGTGCACGGTGGGGTAGGGGAGGAGGGTTGTGCCCACACGAGTCGGATAAATCCGATGAAACCTTGTCCGATGCTTCCGATGCGGGGTGGTTTAAACATTGGGAATGTTTGATAGGTTGTGCTGTATCTGTGATAAAATTTTAGACGTGTATCTCCGTGTTTTGTGCTATATTTTTTTGGTGCTCTTCCGTGAATTGTCGACCTTGAGGCTATCGAGTCCGGACTCAGCAGCATTTTGGGACCATACCAAGCCGATTATCCGAAATTATATCGGACATGAAGTTGTTCGAGCCGTCTTTCAATAAAGTTTTCGATTATGCTTTATCGTCCCATTAAATGCGACAAGGCACCTCGAAATACATTTTAAAACTGGATGGTCAAGTCCAGCACTTTGTGGGGTTGTTCGTAATTCAAATTAGATCCTTAATTTCCTGAAAGGGTATCTTGTAATGAGATCTTAACTGGTTTCGTGACCGTCTCCTTTGCCACCATCTGATTATAGAACTGTAAATACATATGAAATATTCTTTGAACTTGCTTTGCTAGACTGGTTGTATGAGATGAGTGTTATTTAGCGTTGTGTGCGACGCTGCTTTTCCGTGAAACATATTGCGTGCTATTCAATTGATAGTGGGCAGGAGGTGCGTTCTCGCAGATTATTACGAGCGAGCGAGCGCAGCGAGCGAAGCGAAGTCTTTTCAATATAACGGAAAAATCTCAGTATTGAGTATGAGCGGCCCGGCCCAGCCCGGCCCGGCCCGGCCTGTAACGCTTTTGAGAGGCTTATATCTCAGCAACCGCTGGACCGATTGGCCTGCGGTCTTTTTTGCTGGGTAGCCCCATCCCTTCTACCCCGTACCTAATTGACTACTTTTGATACATCTCAGAGACCGTCGTGGCACGTGCCACGTGAAAAGTCAAGGGTGTTCAAGCAGTTTTGCAAAAGTATCGGATACTATTGATCTATGTGAGTGACCCCCGCTGCACGTGCAAAATGCAAAAAGAAGAGGTGCCAAATTTGTTCCCATTTCAGGAACTCGGTAATTACTGGGGCGATTTCGCTGAAACTTGGCATACAGGTAGGCACCCACCAGGCAATGCATTCCCATGTGTTGCAGTTAGGGTGCTACTGCACGTGCGCACGTGCCGGGGGTGTTTCCAGATCTCGAGAACGGCTGGGCCGATTGCGCTCAAATTTGGTACACGGTTGGAGACCGGTTAGTAGGGTGCCGTGCAAAAGTCAGTTTGGACCCCGTTTGCACGTGCGCACGTGCAGAATGCCGCTTCCCGATCTCAGGAACGGCTGGGCCGATTACGTTCAAATTTGGCACACCGCTAGCGACCGGTTAGAGGGGTGCTTTGCACAAGCCTGTTGGAAGTACCCTCTCGCCCTTCCGCACGTGCAGGGCTCACTATCTCGCTCGCTCGTTCTTCGCCCAAAAGGCGTTTTACTGGTATTATTATTGTCGTCATTGTGGTCATTGTCATTGTTATTGTCATGTCAGTGTCGTGGTCATTGTATGTCGTTTCTATTAGCTCTTACTATCGTATAGTATTTATGCATCGTTGGTATGTAAATCACCCCATCGTCATCATCATCACATACCTATCCGTGGCTAATGTGACCTCTGATCTCGTTCACAACCGTCCCAACTCAACCCCACCCTCCATCCTTTCGCAGATGGTGAGGACGACCGGCCGCCGCGGCCCGCCCCGGTGAAGTCCGCCTCCCGGGCCGAGCTGAACCTGCGTGACCTGAAGGTCGGGGAGCAGATCCGAGCTGCCGAGCGCCAGGTGGCCCGGTTAGAGGCCGGGTGTCGGAGGAACAGCGCCGGAGCCACGGGGGCCGACCTGCGGTCCCGGCTGGCCGACCAGAAGGCGCACCTGGGTAGGTTACGGGCCCAGGAGGCCAGTATTCATGCGGAGAAGAGGGAGCGGACGACCAGTAAACGGTTAGATGTGTTCTGATGGAGGTGGGGTTAGACACGGCTGGGTCCGGCTGGGTGGGGATACGGGTGAGGGATGGTTGTTGTTGGAGGCATCGAACATCCTTTCTGGGCTGCACATTCGCCCTCCATTGTGATATGATGTGGTTTGAACTAGATTGTATGCGTAACATAACGAATCATTCTGTTAAGTTACATTTATGTAACTGACACAGTGAGAACAGGGCTGAAATTGTCCTGTTCTTTTTAGTTTTCACCACGTCGTGTAGATCACCACGTGTAGACCGTTGATGTTGTTACCATGCGCTGATACGCAAATACCCGTGGGATTTTGCAAGCTCCATGGTCTTACGAGTGCTGCCTGTATTCTTCCTAATGAAAACGAGGAAGGACGGAAGAACTGGATTCTTCTTTCATCATTGGTGTTTATATTGCTTTTATATTCGACCTCCTATTGAACGTTCGCCATTGTATAAAACGACCATTATCTACTCCGCCTGTTGTTTTGCTTTTGCTCGTCTGGGTGTGTGAGGGAAGAATATCTTCGTGTAAAAACTATGCATGCAGTAGGATTGTTCAAGTCAGACGTACCACTGTCAATCGCCGCTCAGTTGTGTATTTATTGTCATGTGAGAAAAATATGCGACGAAAACAAGGAAGCTGTAGTATTTTCTGGGAAGCGGACATTCCACAAACCCGGAAACTAATAAGCGATGCTTTCTTCTGAGTTCTGACCGTCTTCCCGCAATCTCAGTTTCAACAACGGCTAAGCAGCATTACTGCTCTGAATGGGAGCACCAAATGTGACCACAAGAAAGGTATACTAAAATGAATAATGAAAGCGGAGGCGTTGTCCGCCGCTGTGTTGTGCTACGTGCTCCTGTGACAGGCTGTTTATGACGGCACTATGACGTCATCCGACGTGTCAAAACTTCGCCGGGACGGTGCAGCAGTGAGTCAGCCTCGGGTCGGATGTCGGGCCCCGATCGCCGCAGCTGCACATAGACAGACTGGTGAACCGGATTTTATTTAACATCGACACCAACCAACAACGCGCACAGTAAATGCGAGAGTGAATGATTATCCTGAACTGCCGATAGATCCCCACACTGTAAACAGTTCCAAAAACTACTCATCACATGTCTCGGCCCGATCTTTCCGCTAGATTCTTCCTCACATCGCTCGCTATTCGATCACTAGGCAGTACGCCCCGATGAACCAATCACCGCTGTTGCGGCTCCCGCATCTGCAAACTGAACACAGCACCTTGCTCAGGTGTGCCATTCACTGAGTATCATGTGCGACGAGCTCCACCAACGGGTCGCGCCGCCCGCCGCAGGCAGGCGAGTGCCGCGAATAGCGCTGTGGGAGGCCCGCTGGGACGGCAGGCGTCCTTGTTCCGAAAGCGCAGAGATTGCCTCATGAGATTCATAAAATGACTAGATGCTGTCCACTGAGAGAAATAACTGCGTAGCCTCATGAGATACGGTGGCGCAGTTTTATTTGGCTTAATAGTAATGTTCAGACCATTGGGAATATTGGAAATTTCGGACATAACTTCGCTGAACTTTTATTTGAATTATTTTAATCCCGCCTTACTTCATCCGTTTATCACACAGGAAAGAAACTAACACGTTAGTATCGAGATTCTTTACAGAATTGAGCTTCGGTAGTTTTATGACAGAGCCTGATTGCGGGAAAAGTCATAATGTGTGCGGGAGATAGCGAACGCCGACATCAATTTGTGAAACCACGACACGTTGCGGACGCAAAGCTGTGGTTTAATTAGCGTGCGTGCGGAACGAACTTTTTGTCCGGACGGAATTTAACCGATGACGCACTGGTATTGAGCCCCTTAGGCTGTTGAGATATACCGTGGATTGCGGATTGTTCAGCTTGTAGCTTTGTCCACTTTGCTCTAAAAGTATCTACAACTGGTGATACAATAATGCAGCCTATTGCACTTCATGAAAATAATTTGAAACCATACGTTCGGCATCTTCAATAAACATACCTCCACTTGAACACATAATGTCTCATTTGCCGCATACAACAACCCATAAATAGATACAAAAACTATCATAGATTTCAGAGCAGACATTCAATAAAACAATACTGTCGGTAAACTCCTGAAGCGCAGCCCGCGTCGATCACAAAATCTACGTCATCTACTGATTAACGGACACGATGTGGCCGCTCGTTTCGGAGGCTCCGCGACTGACTCGAATAGAACACCCGGCGAACAACACATGTGACACCACGAATAGCACAGACACTGTGGCGTGTGCGTGTGCCGCCGTACGTGGGTCCGTCGGGGGACCGTGCGCGGGCCCCGGGACCCCGGTGGGGTCTGCTGAGTCCCGGTGGGACCTGGTGGGCCCCGTGGGACTCGAGGGCCCATTATGGGCCGAGCGTGAGGTGGCTGGTGACGGTACAAATCGACATCTGTCGCTGCCGCGCGGACGCCGCGGTCCGCTCCCAAATACGGACCATCTGCAGCGAGGGGTCACAACGCTGCTGTTTCGCCGTATTGCGGCGCCCTACGTCATCTCGGTGACGTCACTTGTAGAGCCCTGTGACGTCACGATGTGTGACGTCAGCGGGTCGGGTCGGGGGCTGGGGTGCCCGACGCCGCTACTTGTTGACGAACTGCGACATAAAGTCGATAGGCAGCGGGAAGATGATTGTCGAGTTCTTCTCTGCCGATATCGAGTTCAGTGTCTGCAAAGACGAGAAATTTCGGTTAAAAATGTCAAAAATTGTCTCGCTATCAAAAATTGAAATACTGAACTAAATTGTTCGCCAAACTGCAGTGATCTATCAGAAGTTAGTAGGTACAACACTCTGCAGGCACGTTACGGAAATTTAATCTGGCTGGCATACCCGACCACAACTCACTACATGCACGCCTCAGCCCATCCGCCCCCCCCCCCCCCCGCCCATCCACCGGACACCGGCTCCTGACCTGCAGGTAACGCAGCTGCAGGGCCGACGGCGACTCCTTCATCACATCGGCCGCCTCCTTCAGCGCGCGCGACGCCTTGCTCTCTCCCTCCGCAGCGATCACCTTGGCGCGGGCCTCACGGGCGGCCTCGGCCTCGGCGGCCATGGCGCGCTGCAGCTGCACCGGCAGACGGACGTCCTTCCTGCGGGTCAACAGAGGTCACAGAGGGTCAATAGAAGTAGCAGAGGGTCACATGAGATCATTGGAGGTCATATAGAGTCACAGGAGGTCATTGGAGGTCAAAGAGAGTCACATAATGTCACCAGAATTCATGGGGGCTATTCAAGGCTATCGGAGGTCATAGCGGATCATGGAAGACCATCGAAGGTCATGACAGGTCATGGGAGGTCATCGGAGGTCACGGCGGGTTATTGGAGACCAACGGAGGTCACAGCAGGTCACGGGAGATCATCGGAGGTCATAACAGGCCATGGGAGGTCATCGTAGGTCGTAGCGGGTCGCAGACTGACATCAGAGGGTCATTAGGCGGGTCACTGGAGGCTATCGAAGGTCACGGTCAGTCAAGAAAGTCGACGAAGATAGTGCGAGCCGGTTCACAGTCTCGTTTGTCCCAATAATGCATCACACCGAACCACTCGCTACCCCTGCCGAATTCCAGAGTTCCAAACTGTCCTCATCATGGCTTGGGTTATCTCTGCGGGAGGCGCGTCACATCTCTGCGGGCGGCCCGTCACATCTCAGCGGCACGCGCCTCTGTGACGGGTGTGACGCATCGCCGCGGCGCCGCGCCGTCAGGGCCGGCGACGCGTCGCGCGCGACGAAAGGTGTGGGCCATCGTCGGTCTCTCCGGGCCGACAGCGCCGCCGTCGTATGTCAGGGCCGTGAGAGACGCGTGAAGACAGCCGTGAAATATCGCCGGCCGGTGCCAGCGCGCGACACATGCCGAATTCGAGCGGGAATTGTGCCGTGAAACAAACTGGGCCGCCCGACGTGGGTGGTGCCATGAGGACGGCGAAACTCGGAACGTGGTCCTTCGCCGCCTGAACGGTCTAATCGTCAGCATTTGGTGCAATGAAGCTAATTAACTGGTTCCATCAGCGACTATTTAAATGGGTCAAATGCATTTGATAACTGTGTACTTTAATACAAATTGTATAGTGATTTGAACCAGGCGCGGATACAAGGGGGGGGGCCATGGGGGCCATGGCCCCCCCCTTGGCCGATTTTTTTCAAAAATAAAATAAAAAGTTAAAAAGCTGAAAAGGGGGCCTCCTGAAAATAAAGTGGCTATTCATGTTGAGATGTTGCCTGAACAGCTAGATAAGCTCAATAGACGCAGTTTTTTTTTTTTTGGGGGGGGGGGGCCCAACAAGTGGGAAGATGGGGCCTCCAACATATGGGGGCCTCCTGGTTTCTAATGGCCCCTCCCTTGGAGATTTTCTGGATCCGCCCCTGATTTGAACACACGAGACCACGCACCCACGTCGCCGCACTGAGGGTTTATCCCGTATTGTCGGCCTGCCCGGCCGCCTGGAATGGTATGCTGTGCCGCCTCACACCGACTGCCTGGTGGGTATGCTGTACCGCAGTACACCGTCTGGCGGCAGTGCGGCGCGGCGCTGCTCGTGAGGCCGGCGCGCCGCGGCGCCGCGGCGATTGGAACGTCGCCGTCCTAAAACTTCAAACTTGACAGTAGTCGGTCGCATACATTATGCTCAAGCGCCTATAGCCTATAGGTATCATGATGGGTATTCAATATTCATACTCACACTTCGACGCGTTCGACCTTGATTCCCCAGTTGTCCGTGGCGCTGTCCAGAGAGTTCTGCATCGAGGCTGATATTCCGTCCCTGAAAGCACAGAAATATAGAGCGATTAAAAGGAGTCATTGTTTTTTTTCTGAAACGGTTCTGGGTTGGCTTCCAATATATTGAAAAGTAAAATTGTTACACTTTAACATCTGCTCAAAATGTCGTAGGTATGTCACGGCCGCAGTCGCAGAAATAAATGCAACTGCTTTGCCATTACATTTTACTATAATAAAGTACCTACGCGCACTATCTTTTACATCTTTCATCTTTTCCCGTCAGCAATAATATATGGGTAATGCCTGTATCATAACGGGTTTTGTTTCGTTTAATGCTCGCCGGCACGGAACGTTTGCGTCAGAGAAATAACGAAAAGTGACTAATGTCAATGTTCCAACGACTTGTTTACTACAGTTTGTTGTATGAGATCAATACTTAGTCCGTTCTTGCTACGCACATAATTACCTACCGTTCACTACTTCTTTTGTATTGCTATCAAGCCTAACGAAGCCCGGGAATCGATAAGCACGTTCAAATGGCTGGTGCGGCATCTATTTGTAGCATGCATTGGAGAATAGGTACCTACATATTTCTTTGATCAAAGGAATAGCTGGGATAGAGAAGTTCTCCGTTATATCCCAGCTATTTCATCACATTGGTCTCCCGCTACATCCATACGTGAACCAGGGAATCGCTGGCTCCGTACATTGAGTGCATACCATCCGCTGGACTCACTGGAGCCTGTAAGGACCCATTATTCTCCCGTTACATCCCACTGGAACCCACATACCCGCTGTTCTCCTTTTATACCCCACCCATCCACTGACCGGTCTCCGAGGATCTCATGAAGGTTCTTGGTTCCGAGCATGTTGCGCAGCGTGGTCTGGGCGAGCAGGCGGGTCGAGTGGTGGGCGTTCTCCACGTTGGCCACGCTGATGGTGGCGTTGCTGACCCGATAGTAGACGACGGCGTCCACCGACACGGTCACGCTGTCCTTGGTCAGTACCTGAGGGATAGTGGGAGACAGGGCAGGGACGGTCAAGGTCAGGTCAATGAAGGGTAGACAGGATGTAAAGTTGCTGTCGTTGTTAGACGCTCACTTCCAGCTGGATAAGTTGAAAATACGATTTACGAAACAAAGTTTCATGTGTTATCTTTTTTACGAAGATTATTAGCAAAAAAAAGCTGAGCCGACAGTATATCGGAGAGTCTGTTTGCTGCTTTGCTTTACTTTTGCTACAACGAAACAAAACGAAGCAAAGCAAAACAAACGGAAAATTACGCTGCAATAGGTGCCAACTGTCAGTACACATGTGGGGAACAACAGTGGGCGCCGGTGACCGAATGTCCGATGCATCAGTGTATTTGTCGGAGGAGCGAAGTTGGCCCGACAGGACACGGTCCGTGTGTCGGGTGGCCGCGGCAGGACACAGGCCATGTGTCGGGCCAGAGTGGATGGCTCGTTCGTTTGGAGAAGAATGGTCACAGAGGTGGCACCGTGACGGCGACCTTCCACTAGGGACAACGGTGTGCCAGGCGCAGGTTTGGCACGCGACGCAGCGGGGTGCCCAGTTTGAACGTCAGGGCTGCCGTAACCAGTGTGCGAGTCCGGTGCTGCCTTGCCGCTCAATGCTCAATGCTTAAAGGGACAGTGTCATCGAAAAAAAAATCCATGTATGGAGCTGATTTTTTTTTTAATAGCATTTCTTATTTTTCTGAATCAGAAAAACATAGTTTGAGGACCGAACTCGGTGAAAAATATTGCAACCACATTTCATTTTCATGATTCATTTTCATGAGCGAGCCACCACTACACTGAAAACAATTCAACCCGCGTACAGCGAGTAAAACCCGCTGCTGGCGGGTACACCTACCCACCACCTAATTTGACACTCTACCAGCGGGTGCGTTTACCCGCATATCGCAGGCTGTGAACCCGAGTATATTGTGTACCTAACCCGCATAGGATGGGGACTCAACCCACACACAGAAGGCAACCTACCCGTTCGCAGCGGGTACACAATCCGCACATGGCGTATTACCTGCGCTGCGTGGGTTGGGAACTCGCTTTCTGCGAGTACAAATATCCGCTGGTAGGGTGTCCAAATCAGCTGGAGGGTAAAGTACCCTCCAGTGGCGGCGTTCAAGGAGGAAAACGCCGCCATCGCCGGGATTCGAACCCGATATCTTTGACATTACAAACCGATGCGCTACCAACTGCGCCACAGGCGACCTGACGCAAAGCGACTGAAATGTCGGTGTATATCAGATTAAAATGAAGAGCTGACGGCGGACTCAATACAGAAAGTAAAAAGGCTTATCTTAGACAATTGACATGAATCCGCCTATAGTGTTTTAAATATTAAGGAATAGTTTGGACAAATATTTCATTTGCATCGGGAAAGATTTATTTATCCAGGCTTATTTTTACCAATAAAATGTGCTAAGAACGGTCTGCAAACTTCACCACAATGCGCCAGATTCGCGGACTGCAGAATATTCTGCTGAGCGTTCCAGCGAAATATTCTGCCGGCCAAGACGTGACGTCATCCAAACAATGATTCAAATGTCCCAAGCCCGTTAAGTACCCTCCTAACTCACAGAACGCAGCCCCACAGCTGTTACAGTTACGATTACAATTGCCTTGCACATCTCTACCCCTGCACAAGGCCTGCACAAGCACGCAGCCGAGCCGAAAAGCGACTATTGTGGCGCGTCACATTTCAACACTCGTTTGAGCGTCGAAGTCAAAAGTATTAATTTCAAAACCAATGCCGTGCATCAGTGGGATATCTGCCATGACACATGCGTGATCAAGGCAACCTGCGTATAGCATGTCACCTACCTTGGCGCAGCGAGTTACACGATGCAAAACCTGCGTGATGCGCTTACTCCGTGGGCGCGAGTAACGCCTGCGGCCACAACCCGCTGCGGACGAGTGATTGACCCCGCCAGAGAAGGTTTCATGTATCCGCGCATGACGGGTTGCTGTTTTACCCGAGTATAGCGGGCGTTGACACCCGTGAAGCGGGTGAAAGCTACGATGATAACGGGATGCTCTGCGAAACGCGGGAAGCTAAACGGGTAGTCAGCCTACCCGGCAGCAAAAACTCGCGCAGAGCGGGTAATTTCTTCAAAATACCCGCGATACCCGGGCCAACTCGCAATCCGCGGGTTGAATTGTTTTCAGTGTATTACAAGCATGGCCGCCAGTTTGGAAGCATGCAAAATTACTACAGAACTGGCGCAGATAATACATTATTGACGCTACGCTTACGCGGTCGTTCTTCTGATTGAGTTGTCCTTAGGGAGAGGTAGCCTTAGGTATTGCCTATAAAAATATAACGTGACAATTGGAGGGAGTGACAATTGGACGTGACAATTGACAATGGGAGAAAATATCACGTGACAATCACGTGATAAACGTCATACATTGGAGGGAGATTGTGATTCAAGCTGGAGGAATTCCTTTGTTGAGCCGCTAGAATCCGAAGGAAACAGCGGAAATTGCCTACGACTATTTAATGAATTTAACGGTGATGAATAAGTGCGAAAAACGTTTTGGCTTTATAAAATTTGATGAAATGACCAGGGAAAAGTTTTATTACTGGCGGTCAATTCAAAACGGCGCAAACATTTAAACAGTGAAGATAGTGAAGCACGATTCAAAGTGTGGTACACCTTTCGTACTTTGAGCGGCGATAGCGGGATAACGGTGTGGAGCTTCGAGGATCGGTCTTCAGTTCCCGGACCAGAAAGGTGGGGCCTATGCAATGTCAAATTTCATCAAAATGGTGATACTGTCCCTTTAATTGGAATGTATCATGACTAATAAGTACGTTACGAACCCCATGATACCGGAGCTGGTCATTATGTATTTACGACCATCCGAGGACAAACCAACTTTTTGTGTTGTTCCCTATTGACAAAGTGACTATCTCTTTTCAAGAGACGAAAAGTTAGTAAGTCCCTATGCTGCCGTTGGCTGGCCACCCATGCCTAGAAATAATATCTGCTATCTGTTCAATCTGTCACCGGCGACTGCCTCACAACAAAACGGAGGCGTCTTGTCAACACGAGTCTTGCCAAGTTCCATCGCGGGCCAGATCAGATATGGACTGTTTTTGTGAGTCTTCCTGACTGGGAGAGAGAGGGAGAGAGGGAGAGTGCGCGACAGAACGGACACAAACATCCTGCCAGATGTTCTATGTCACCAGCCCCGCAATTGTTGGCCGCCGCAGTGACAGATCCACTCGGCGTGTAAGCGTGCTCAGGAGAGGGACAACAAAGTACCGACCGGCTCAAGTGGACTTCAGAGACGAGGGCGGACATGAAGCATACGCTGGACGTGGACAGAGGTGTGAAAATATGCTGCTGACGGTTAGCGCGTTCTTACCTCTTGAGGAGGAACGTCGAATACGGACGTTCGCATGTCGATCTTGGTGTAGTTCTCGATGCATGGCAGGATGAAGAATATTCCTGCGAAAGAGCACAAGTGTTAGTTAGGTTTTAAATAAACTAACGCCACATAGCATTATATCGTAGTATCATTATAAAAATTAAGGATAACTGACGGAGATTCGCTGTAAGCACTGATGCCTTCTTTGCGCGGAGAGTGACATCTGACCAGAACTTTCTCAAAACATTGGCAAAAGCTGTGAACTCAAATAATGAGGCGTAATAATATAGCAACATTTAATTTTCAATGGTTCTGCTCCATTATTCGAGCTTCATCTTGGCCAAGAATACGTTTGTAAAAAAAAGAGAACAACCTGCAGAAATCTGTTTTACGAAATGTTTGCATGACAGGAAGGTAAATGACCTTTGACAATCCATTTTTAACATATTATTCGTGCCAAGTTATAATTCCCCTCGTCTGACGTCTAATTAAAATTAAACCGCTCGATTTCAATCCCGAAATTAAATTCGCCGCCTGTAATGGAAGCGGTCCGGCGGCGGGCGTTTCGTCACCGGGCCTTCACGCACCGCCGACTGCACAGTGCGAGCAAATCCGGATCAATGCTGCCGGGCCGGCGCCAGAGCGACCGACCCGGACCGCGACCGCACGGCCCTCAGCTGAGCCGTCCGAAACACATCGCCCCCGGAGGCACACGGCGGTGGCACTTTTCATTACGGCGAAATAGGGGCGACTTGATCCTGGTAGCAGCCGGGCAGTGGCATGATTCATGCATTCCGCCATGGGTCACGTGAGGTATACAGGAGGATATGAGGTAGGTATGCCTATATGTGTGCGCCTACATATGCTGTGATGCTCGTCGAGTGATGTGAGGCATATGAGATGCCACAACATCACTGTTAGCCGCGCCAATCGTGCTGCAAGTTAAGAAGCACAGATAACAGTAGTGCTACCGTTATCTGTGTAATAAGGCATTTGATGGAATAATTTAGGGCTATAAAATAGTATTTAAGTAATTTTCCGATCGTAAACTACTTGATGTTCCAGATCAATCTACCCAAAATTAGGTGAATCATGGGGTTGGGTAAGTTATGCAGTATAAACTGAAACATAATGTTCAGTCTTCAGGAATATTTTGCAATAAAATTGAATGCACTGTAGTGGCAGCAACGCATTACTAAGTTACAACTCGAGCGTGGATTCTGGACGATGCATAATGCTAGTGGTAGCTCCCTGGTCGATCAGCGTTATATCACGCTCGATAACTGATCAGTCTAATGAAGTTATTTTCAGGCTAGCGTTCATGACTGCTGTTCTGTATGCTGGCTTGATCCACGTTCTCGGTTATTCTGTGGTAATTGTTGCATGACAATAATATTTGGCTAATAAGCTTGCCAGTCAAATAAAGGAAAGCTGCAATGTTACATTTGAGCCAGAACGAAGAACATCTCATAAATGAAACAGTGGCCGTACTCATGATCGGTAGCCAGCGTGCAGTGCCTTACCCCGACGTCACTAGGCGTCTGAGAGGAGCGGTAAAACATAGTCATTGCCCTATTACGATCTCGGAAAGTGAGCCTACCTGGGCCTCTGGCGCCGCCGGACAGCAGCCGTCCCTATCGAGCCCTATCGAAAGTCGCCTTACCTGGGCCTCTGGCGCCACCGGATAGCAGCCGTCCCAGTCGGAAAATGACCGCCCGTTCATATTCCTGCACCACCTGTCGACAAACAGCTGGATGTCAGTCCGTATTACACGATCATGCTGCCGATATTCAACACTTGCACCTGGCACAAATGAATAATCATTAGTTTCATCCCCATCTAAAACTGAGAGCAGTCGTTTTTCGTACCTAATTTAAAAATAAAGTGCATCAGTTTTTGTGAACATCTCTTTGTAAGGTAGGTATTCATGCTTAGCAAACTATATGTTTCATTTCATGGATCAGTAGTTTTGAAAAATATAAAACATAGCCGCCTCGAAAGTATGCATCCTGTTATGATTCGGCTGTGGTATGCAACATCCGCGTAGCAAATGTTTGGTTAGAAAACAGTTTACAAAGACCAAAGGCCAATGCCAGTGTGCCAGTAGTAGTGTGCAATGCCAGTAGGCAAAGCTAGAGCATGATCGTGGATCATGACCGATTGACCGATGACCGATTACGTCGATAAATGCCGTTAAAGATGAAAAATCCTGGAAATTGAGCAATGTGATTGATATCACGGGCGTAGTGTGTAACTGTTCTCAGAATCGGCGCAACTAATTCGCAATCCCTACAACGTTGGACTCAGTGCGGGACCGTTAACTGCCTGAACGAAGTTATCCATCACCCGGCGAGATATAAACTAAAAGTGACCTGTAATCTTCCAAGACGCATTGCTTCCGTAAATCTCTATAAACCGTGACCGACACGGGTGCATTAAGTTGCTATAAACCACAACTAAGAGACTTTTACAGATTTCGTTTCATTTCATTGCTACCTCCCAACTGACCCTCTGTAGTTTACCTACCCGGAAGCAGACGCAGAGCGAGAAGGGCAGGGTGCACAGGACCAGTAACCATGAGATCAGCGTCAGTAGCACACCGCACAGGCCATTGTCGCCGCTGTTATCTGCAAAAGACACAAAAGGACGCAGGTCAGACACGGAATCGTTAACAGGCGCACTCAAAACTTTTTTACTACCTCCTGGAGAGTTCATTTTCATCAAACCCGCAAGATAATAGTATATTGAAAGGGTAACTTGCTGCTACCATTATGTGCATAGTAACGGTACGTGGTTAATATGAACTTATTCGCCAGCGAAGAGTATTATTACCATGTAAATATCAATATTACTCTCGCGATCCAGAACATCACGAAAACTCTTTCCTCCTGGGTATCGTGACTCGGGTACAGATAGTCGTTTCATGCGTGGATCTTGTTTACCCTCGTGAAGATGATATTTGAAATGGAAACAATCAGCCAATCAGAAACGAGATCGGCCGTTTGCGGTTTGAAGGCCGCGCGCATCTGTCAGTTTTCGGCCGTTGGTCTCCGAGAGCGGATGTGAGCAGTGTCGGTGCCGCGCGGCGTGGCCGTTGGTGATTGTGCTTGTGTGTTGTTCATCGCCTATAGAGCCTCTGTGGACATTTTATTGTAAGTACTGATGTGCTAGAGCATTGCGTGCCGTTGAGTGGTGCTAATTTGACCTGGTTAACAGGACCCCGTGCACGGCCACGTGGCCTAGTGTTGTGAGTACGTACATTAATTTTGTTGTGATGCTACAAGTTTATGCATTTTGTTGGTGACTTTGAAAAAGCCTTGCACTGTAGTGATCCAGTCTCATTATCTCACGCAGACGGGCGACCACCCAGGAACGCCGTCGCTCACTTCAAATATTGTGCGCTCTGCCTAATCCAATATGAGGGCGCTGAATGTGTTGTATTCATATTCAAATTGCATTCAAGTTGTATCGTGGTGTTTATTTACCGCTTGTGCATTGCTGAACGCTTTGTATAAATTTGTATGAATAAGTGAAGAGTCTCACAATGTTCATGGTTGGTGTGCCCCTCGTATTGTTTGTACGGAAGCCAAATATACCTACATTGTTGCTCTTGAAGCATTTTTTTTTTTAGTTGGTGAGCTCCGGTTAACAGAAGCTTCGTGAAGCTTCTGAAGGAAGCGTCTGTGGGTCTGTTACCATCCTCTGGGGTGTTTACACTAAAGGAAAGAGTAAACATTACCATGTGACAAAGGGTAGGCCATAAGAATATACTCTCTGTAAAGGGGTAAAGCACAGAGTAGATGATGCGTTACTCCCTAAAAAAGGGCTCCGTTAAAGATTTACCCTTTCAAAGAGTGTAACCCAAAAAATGTTACACTCTAGACAAGAGTAAATCAAAAGAGTTTACCATTCAGAAGATGGTAAAAAACGTCTGTGTGTCATGTTACCCCTCCCTGGCGAGTTTACTCTTCATGAAAGAGTAAAATTTACCATCTGGAAGGTGGTAAAAAACGTCTGTGTGTCAAGCTACCATGCTATGGCGGGTTTACCCTTCAGGAAATGGTAAAAAAGTTTTCAGTGCGAGGGCTAGAGACCAGAAGGTCTGATGCTTTTGATGGTAGCCGTGATATTATATCAGACCTAAGTACCTACATGTACATGAACTGTAGAGAACAAATAATCACGAACGTCGCGTTTTAAGTATCACACCATATTCCGCAGCAATTTATATCAGCGAAATGTTATAACTGGTAGGTAGTTGGCATCTTAGAATATTCAAATTGCGGATTGGTGGAACGGGCTGTTCAAGCCCGCTGATTTTTCCAGCTGATACTCATCCGTTCGCCCCCCGTAACAATACCCGTGGTTTGGCCTATAACACATGGTCAATGGCATCAATAATGCGTAACTCCTAGATTGGATTCGGACCACGTAGCCGCCAAAACGTTTGGGGGCTAAAATTGGAACGTCCAAAGTCGATCGAAGCGGTGGGGCGCACCAACCAATAACACCGCCAGCCGCACGTTCCATTTGTTCTATTCTCGAGGCCCGATGGTGAAAACAGCCTTACTCGAGCGTCAATACACACAAACTCGGCGTCTGGCGTCGGTTGTAACGGATATTGTACGGCAAGCTCGATTGACGCCTTAGCTGGCACCTTTTCTGACGAAAACACGGAGCTTGAGAGGCCGCCGGGTTGGTATACCACCCAGCTGGAGCTTACGAGCCTGATGAACCTCGTGACTTGCCATTAGGGAGGCTAAACTATGTGGTTGGGAGAATGAATGGTCGGGGTGCGACATTCATTCTTCCTGGCAGCTTTAATTGCGCGATACTACGAACTCAGTGACAAGGCTTTGGACCAATGACATGCAGAATAAGTACAATGTCGTAGTGATATTTGGCGGGGAATGCTGGTTTGAGCAAGACATTAGTCGAAAGTGACGAAACCACAGTGAAGGTACTGAGTCAGACAGGTGGGAGGAAGGCAGCGGCCGAGTCGGCAGGGAGGGGAGAGGAGTGGGGAGAGTCCCACCAAGTCCCCGGATCGGGTGATCGTCTGCGCCCCGTCCTGTGGTGATCGGTCAGGAGCGGTGACACCGCCGTGTCGTCACGGTACGTAACAGGAGCTGACACGGGAGACGGTGTGACAGCACCCGTCACACTCGTCAACGGTCCACCGCCGACGGGCTCAGATGAACTCGTCCAAACTGAAACGTCTCACACAAAAACGGGCGACAGATAGCATCAGGGGGCCGAGCCGTTTAGGTATACCTCAGTACAGCCGGAATAACGCTCAGAGACATGCTGTGAGAATGAGTCTCGCGCATAAATATATGTAATTCCACGCGACAGCCGACACTTTGTTCAACTAGAGCATACGAATGCACATTTCAAAGCTCGGGTCGCGGTGCTGACATTTCCAAAGCGCAAGAGCTGAAACAGGCCTGTTTGCCATTCTGTGACAGCATTCCCAGCGGGGCTTTGTCGGAGTGACAGTGGCGCCGAGAGCTGCATATTCTGAGGCTGGCGACCGTGGGACGGGTCGGCTTTTGCCGAGACGAGACCAAAACTCTGCGGTTAGCCGTATGACGCTCTCGACAATCCAATGTGACAGCATCTGGCATGCAGTGCTCCTGTGCTGTCTTATCTCCAAATTGATGCAAGAGGCTGCATTGTTTTGGTGACTTCCAGTAACATAACGTTTTCGCTTATCCTCAAAATTTATGTCTCATTGTCAAGGCGTTTTGACCGTCATACATGCCCGGATTTACAACACACCATGAGTTATCAAAACCAAAATTAAAAATTTGCAAAACGGGCTAGCTACTGTCACCAACCAATAACCAGCCATACCAAATAACCAATAACAATTCTTTGTCTCAGTGACGCCCGTGCGGCGTACATTTTCTGAGCTTGCGCCGACGATTCATTCCGTTCTGAACGATTCCTTTCATACTGTCCATTCCGAGGGACTTCGGTTGATGGAGCGAGGACGACGGTCTGGCGCTATGAGCAATATCGGGCATAACGGAACGTCGCATTGTTCCGAATCGCTGACGGTGAAAGACTACAATTAATGCCGTTCAGCTCGATTGAAGGTAATCGAAGGAACGTGAAGAGGGTGATATGAACGGAACTAAAGAGAAAAATGTGAAAATTGAGAAGATAACAGGTAATAATGTTTGAGAAACTACCACGTTATGGATCTTCCACCATTAGAAGCCTGAAAAAAACTGCGCAGTTTCCTTAACAAAGAAAAAGGACTGTGACTCATTTATTAACCCACGCCCTGGCGGTCTCGGCCAACTTCTCCATAGTGGGGGGGGGGGGGGGCATATGTTACCACCCACCTCTAACTCAAAAACCAAGAGGGCTACAAAGACGCGGTAAAAAGCAGTCGATAGCTCTCAATCCGTACGTTTGAAAGTATTTAAGTCATTTTTCATCTTATAGCAATATTGGGGTCACCAGAGGTCATCAAAGGTCAAAATTTGCCAATTGTCATTATATTTTTCAGAAAACATGCCATTATCTCAGGAACTATGGTAGCTAGAAAAACGCATGGAAAAACAATCGATAGCTTTTGAACTTTTCTTTTGATAAGGTCATTATCAAAATTGACCTCAGGTCAACGGTTTAGCCTCCAGAGGGCAAAAACTCCAAAAATAGCTGTTTTTACGAAAAGTGTTTTTCGACAATAACTTTCGACTACAAAAGGCTACGACATTTCTATTGCCAGAATCGTGTTCCTCTCGCCGACACGCGTCGAATGAACTATAATTTGACCTTGAAAGGTCAACTTGAAAATTTGACCTCAGGTCAAGGTCATGACCTGACCGGAAAAGGTCATGTTGCATATCAGTCAATGCGTCTCAACAAGACAAACACAATGAGACCACCCCCAGCGTTCTATCTCTTTCCGATCGCGAGTTATTGGCAAAAATCTGTTTGTAGCCTCAAATGACCTCGGATGACCTTTCTAGAGGCTATCAGCAAAAATGACACCTTTGTCATCACGGGTGGTCCAAATCATTGTGATTCTGAAATTTTTGGACTGTTCCTATGCGTACACACGGATCTAGAGGCATTTTCATTTTTCTCCATTGACTTGTAATGGAAAGGTCACGCCACTGACCTGACCTTAGGTCACGGATATAAAAATCCGAGATATACAAATTGTAGGCGCCCATAACAGCATGCAATCCACCAAGTTTAAAACCTTTCTGACAAACACTGCAGGCTGGACATGATTGCAAACTTTTTTAGGCTTGGTCAGTTAACCTGACCTGGTGACCTGACCTGACATGACCTGGGGTAAAAAATTTCACACATTGTCCAAAATTGATGTACCAAGAGCTACCCAAAGCGGCAAGGCGCTACGCGCCGCGGTTTTTTATTCACAAGCAGAAAACGCGACAGGGTGGTAACATATGCCCCCCCCCCCCCACTGGGGCGAAGGTTAATGTTTGCAGCTAGGTCCGGTCATAATTGCTTCTCTCGATAAAATACACTCGCTGGTAGGACAATGGATTTGACCCTCGCCAGCACATGCCATTTCCCATCCTAGAACGCACATGGGGAGGGGGTGGTGGTTGTCACCCCCCTCGCGCCATTTCCTTCCTGTTGGAGATAGAGCTTCGCGGCAAAAACCAATAGATTCTAAGGGAAGAGACAAATCCAATGGTACCCAAGTTTACCTCATTAGGTCAATCATTGACCTTCCAGGTCAGGTCAAACTAAAAAAATGTTGCTGTTTGGGGCCATCGTTGGAATATCACGTGCGGTGCCCATCATATACCGATGTCGCTGCCGTTTGTGGTGCCAAGCCAGGTAGAACAGCTATTTATCGCACTATCCGATTAGGTTTTTACTGCCTGTGGTCATTTCAGGTCAAGCTAAGTCAAGGTCAATGATATGTGTTTGCATGTCTGTGTGTGTCTGTGTGTAGGTATGCTGATGTGTGCACTGATTGGTTTGTGTGTCCCTATTATATGGGATCATGATCTGAGAAGCTTTTACCAAAACTGCAGTAAAAATAAAATCACGAAAAGTAAATTGAGCAAGCCTAAAATTCAATGCTTTTAGGTGACCTAGGTTGACCTTGACCTTGACCCTGACATCTGCACATCGTGGAAAACATGTTCCATGATAGGTGGGAGCCGGGAGGTAAGACTAGCAAAAACATACCGAACCAAATACCAACCAAAACCTTGGGAACATAACAAACCGAGCCAACTTGGGATATTGAGGTAAATACAAACTTGATTTCACAACCTCTTACCATTTGTACATTTCACAACCACAACCATTAGTGAAGGATTATAATGCCAGTAAAACACCAAGAGCATTAGGATTGAAATACCAAATACCAAGCTGATGTCGCCTCAGCATCCGTATTCATGTATACCAAAAAGTTGTTATATGATTGACATCTCTAATCAGTAATCATCCAACAAAATTAATCTATCAGGTAAACGATGGGTAGCAACATCCTAATCACATTAACGCGTTAACACATTAACAATAACGTTATCACATTAACGATCTGACAAAGAAAACACGCGTAATGTTTGGTAAAGAGAAACGCGTCGATTTCACTAACGGCGGACAGCTCCGCACGCCGTGACCCGCTGGATGGGTGCCAAATTGGCTTGTTTACGTACAGGCTGGATTGAGCAGTGTAGGAGACGCTCTATGCAATTCAGTTTAGTTTGGCTGGAAAGGCTGCCGTGACTGGATGCGGGCCTGACGGGGGGTGAAAGGGGAGAAGCCGTACGGAATGCCCGATCATCCAGTGAGCCAGGTCAGCGCCTGCGACGTACCCCGGTCGGAGGCGGCGATCGGACCTGCCGAGCTCAGCACTTACCGGTGCCGACGGCCACCACGCTGGCCTTCCTGCCCTCCTCCGACATCACGCCCGCAGCGAATCAATACCGAGACAGGCGGCACGGCGACGACGAGCCGCCGGCGAGCGCGGCCGGCGCCGGACGCGGCGCGCATGCTCCCAACCCGGCGCAGACGGGCGCGCCGCGCGCTCCTCACCCCATCGACCCGGTCCGGTCCGGCCCGGTCCATGCGGCCCGCTCACCAACCCCTCCCTCCCCCCCCCCCCCAGAGCGTCAGTGCTTAGCCTCATTGCAGTGATGCAAGGACTTATTTACCACGCATAGGGAGCATTCGTAAAGCTAGATCCAATTTCTTTGCATCAGTGGACTACAAATACATGTAGCTATCAAACTGCTGTATCGAATTATCGACATTTTGAAATTTTTGAATATTATATTTTTACAATTACAATTTTTTTTAGATTTTTTTTTCCAAAAAGTTTGTATTTTTCACAAAAATCGGAATATATGTGATAGAACGCACACTGATGAACTACTCTAGCAGGTTTTAGCCCAATATCGTCAAAAATAGCCAAGTTATTTGCATTAATTGTCAACATTTTACAATTATATATTTTTCAAAACCATTTTTCAGTACGTTTTTGATATCGTACAGCAGTATAAATGGCCCCATCGTGTTCCTTAGCTCAAACTGCATCTGATAGGCACCTTTTTTGTTCAAAAATTTCATTTTCAAAATTTGACCTTTTCTGACCTGAAAGTGACATGACCTCCGGTAAATTCAGCTGAAAATGACCTCAAATAACACAGACAACATTATTTTCTAAATCTACGAGTAAAATGGACCATACAACATGCGTCACGTGACCGATACATGATACCTATACAATTTTCGTGACCTAGGATGACCTGGCCTTGATCTGAAAAATTCGAAGTAAAAGTTCGGTACCTTCGCGGTAACTAAGGCATATATCGAGGAGTGCGTAAACCAAAACGGAGCCTGCTTGGACTTGTTAGCCGGCGGCCAGAGCCAAAATTGTGAACAAGCAAAAAAATCGATAATTTTTACTTTGACCTGACCTGCTACGTCATCGGTGACCTCGAGGCCAATGAAAATAGGTTTCACTCAACAGTTTTTCCAGGGCTATCAGACGCCGTTTGAATTTTGACGATCGGCCTAGTAGTTGTTTCGGAGACAGGAGGGGGGGGGGGGCTCTGGAGAGCCCCCCCCCCCCCAGTCACACGCGTTATGGAAAATACCCCAGTTCATGCGCGGGTTAAGATGAAAATCTTGACATGAATGTTCCGCACATCATAACCCCAGTATCAAGGAGTGAAAATGTTCAATCAATCGTTCAGTCGTTGTAGCTACAGCGAACATTTAATTTTTACCCAGGTTATGTACCTTGACTGGAACCGGTGGCCTTGAATAACATAGACCTGAAATTCTCACAATATGCGGAGCAAAGAGGTATAAAAAGAGCTTCTGATTGTTAAATATTCGCTAAAATATAGGAGTGGTAAAGCACCACCCCTCCCCTTAGCTGCCACGGCGCAGGTAAAATTCATGGCTTCCTTTAACCTCAATTCAGTGCGTTATGTTACCTGGGTCCACCTCTGTGCGTAAGTTGGGTTGGCAGGCTTTCGTAGATGGAGTGTTATTTTAAACCCCCAAGGATCCATCGGTTTCCACATCGGCTTTCACAATACGAGCATGATCGGTAGGTATTGGCCGAGGTTAGGGTATGCCGTTCAACGTGCAAGCCCTCTCTCTCTCTCTCTCTCTCTTTCTCTCTCTCTCTCTTTCTCCCTCTCTCTCTCTCTCTCTCTTTCTTTCTCTCTCTCTTTCTCCCTCTCTCTCTCTCTCTCTCCATCTCTGCCCGTCTCTCTTTCTCTTTTTCTCTCTTCCACACACCCACTTACTCACTCACTCAATCAATCACTCTCTCGCTCATTCTCTTTCTTCTCTCTCTTTCTCTCTCCTTCTCTCTGAAGTCGAAGTGAGTCATATTAGTATGTAATGGTTGCATTTACTCTAATTGCACAAAAGTGTTGCTAATTACCACTGCAGCAAAGAGTGTCAGGTTCAAACGCACCGGTGAAAACACGACAAGGCAGCGAAAGACTCGAAACGGAATTATATAAACGAACGAAATAACCAGGCGGGGGGGGGGGGGGCAAAAGGAAAAATAGGGACATGGAGATGGAAACGCTTTTTTTCTTGACTGCGCTGTGTACAACGCGTGACAATACTCGTATTAACTACAGAATGGTTGAATTAAAGAAAAATAACCAGTATACTCATTGTAGAAAATACTTGAATACATATCGGTCAAAGCAATACGTACTGGCCTGGATGGAGTCGCTCCTGATGCGCACGGATGAATATGGCCGCAGGTGGTGGCCGTTGGCAGGGTCCTCCTCCAAAACAGGCTGGATTGAAGAGCTCCGACGCGACATTCCCGAGGTCCTGGGCTCCAGCGCAATCCAACAATTACGCTCTTGGATCCAGTTCGAATTTGTTCGGTTTCAATTCGGTCCAGTTCGGTTAGATCCTCTTCAATGGCTTGTCTGCTCGAATCGTTTTCCTGATGCTTGAAAATCCACCTTATTCGAAGGAAATATTTGTCTTATCGACAACCGCCACCTGGTAATTTCATCACGTGGTGCACTTTGCTCCAGACGTCAGCAAGTTCTCTTGACGGTCGTTATAACCTCTCTTCAATCCGACAATCTCCCATTCAATCACAGCTGTGGGCCGCGCTAACTTCTGGCCACGTCCCGCCGACTCCGTCACCGCACCTCGGGCCGATCGGCGCACCGGTCGCTCCGTCACCACCGGGCCGCGGTCCGACCAATCAATGAGCTGGTCACAGGCGAACACACGGCGCGCCAAACACGAAACCGACGCGTGACGCGCCGCTCAGCAAGTGCGGCCAATACGGCGCGCCGCGGCGGTGGCGATCGTTGTGTATCGACGCGTCGCTCGCGTCGGAAAGGCCGCGTCTGCGGCAGAACTCCCACTGGTCAGCGTGCTCCATGGCGGGCTGATACAACATTCACAGCTGCCTCCACATTAGCATCGGTCGATGGCGATAGTAATTAGCAATTACTGACTGGCTGGGAATGGGATGACATAGCTTCCGAGGAATGACTCCGTTGACAAAGCTGGCAGCTGCTTCTGTAGCTAATGGTTTTATTTCATTTTGAGTCAGGGGAGTTTTGCTTTCGTTATCGATGCATCTAGTTACATTCATTAGTTCAAAATATTTGTGAAATAAATAAAATGTGTACCTATAACCAGGGCTGCGGAGTCGGAATCGGTGTTAGAGCTGGAGTCAGTCGGAGTCGACAGTTCTGCCCGGAGTCGGGGTCGCCAAAATCTTACAGATTCCGACTCCGGAGTCGGAGTTAACGCTGCATGGTTCAACGCCATGCACTGCACCTGTTTGATTGACGATACTGCGCTTGAAATTAGATTTTGTCGAAAAAAAGGCCATGTTGTTGTTTTGGACAAACGTTTTCGGCGAAAGAAACAAGAGTCTGGATTTTCCAGATCCTGCTCTGCTTCTGCGTGTTATTTTTATTGCATAATTGCATCTCAAAGACTTGGAACGCACAAGGGATCGTTTCAGGCAAGCCAAAACATCTCCGTTATGAACTTCAATATCATGGTACAGATTTTAACCCGCGCACCGACGGGGGTCTGCGCCAACTTCGCACCGACGGGGGGGGGGGGGGGCGGATGACCGCCCCCCCCCCCTGAGATCTCGAGAACGAAGCAAGATAGCGACAAGCGGTAAACGGCATCGGATACGCACGGCCAAGATCTACAATTTTTACTCGGGTCACTTTCAGGTCAGGTCAAAGATGACGTCACAGGGGTCGAAAAAGTCAAAATGGCGGCGCTAGATATGGAGAGAGTTTTTCTCGAATAACTTTCGAATTAGTCAAGATAGGAACAAACTAAGGGCATCATCGTGATCCTCTCGTCAATCCGCATCGAATGATATATATGTTAACCTCGAAAGGTCAAGGTCAAAGGTTGACCTCAGGTCACGTGACCTCGAGGTCATCATGTATATCATTCGATGCGTCTTGACGAGCTGAACACAATGAGACCATCCACGCGTCTGTATCTTGTTCCTGTACGGAGTTATTGGCCAAAAACCTTTGGTGACCTTTGATGACGTCACATGACCTCACAGCTGCCCAACAGCAAAACAGACCTCAAGGTAGTGAAGGTTGATCGTATATGAAGTCATGTATGGTATATGGGGCCATTCCGACCCGTTTTAGTGGTAAAAACAGGGAGTTGATTTTTCCCCATTGACTTATAATGGGGAGGTCGCGAAATTGACCTGACCTTAGGTCACCAATATCAAAATTCCGAGATATACAAATTGTAGCTACTAATGACCTAATATTATCCTGCGACTTTCAAAGGCCTCCGACATCTACTGTAGCTCTGGCACGGTGACAAAGTTGCAAAAAAGTGACTTGAGGTTGGGTCATTCAAAGTGACCTGGTGACCTGACCTTAAAAGGTAGGAGGTTCAAACTTGCACACCATGTGTAAAATTGATGAGGTTATAGTCATACCAAATTTCGCGGCGCTACGCCCCGCGGTTTTGCCGCTATTCGCGAAAAACCTCAGGGGGGCGGATATCCGCCCCCCCCCCGTCGGTGCGAGGGTTAATAGAACCGTCCGGAGTCGGATTCGGAGTTGGAGTCGGAGTCGGAGTCGATTTTTGAAGCCTTAGTCGGAGTCGGAGCCGGATTCACCCTAAAATCCATCGACTCCGCAGCCCTGCCTACAACTACGACAGGTCACAACAGTGGGTCGCTTATAAAATAAAGGGTTGACGCCAATCACCTTGGACACCTGTTGTTTAGCCGTTGACTTTGTATCAATGTCAACGCACCTTACATAACTTTGAAAACTATAAAAAAAAAATGAAGTGACCATTACACATCATTTGCCAGTCGCAGTTCTGACCTTATAATAACTTTCTTTGAGCATAGGCGGCGGAACGGGGAGGGCAGCGGGGCACCGTGCCCCCTTTGATTTTGGCATTTTAACATTAGCCCTATACATTATGTAAATATATGGTTTGCTATCTGTCAATGGTATTTTATAAGTATTGTGTGTGCCACTTTCCAAAGCAAGCAAGAGTTCTAACGCTTATCTATTATTTAGCTTGAAACGTTAACTCCGATGCTAATTTCATCTTGTAATAAGAGACTTTACCTCAACACAACTGACAACATTGCGCGACGTGCAGCGGGCAGCACTGAGTGATCTGACTACGCGGCAGTTCTGGTCTGGCCAATCTGGCAGCGCCGGCCTTCCCTGACCTGACCGATGTGACATCCCTCCGGCGACGGCCAGACGCGGGCCACTCGATCTTGTCCTGCGGCCGTGGCAGTGTCACCTGTCACAGTGTCACCTGTCACAGTGTCGGGTGACGGCTGAGCTCCAGTGGGACGCCGGCCACCTGTCTCCGACTGGCACCTGTGTGCCGGCGAGCACATGTCTGCAGCGACACTGCGTCGCCCGCCAGCCGCTCGCGCTGTGCCTAGAGATTGGCAGCCGCTCCGGGCGTCCTGCCTCCTCTATACGCAGCCGTAAATTGTCTTCCCAATCGCCTGTCTCACTGCAACCCGCGATTGCTGATTGAAGTGTAACTGACAATGACCGGACTGCGGTTCCCTGATAATAATTTAGCACCCAATAGACACTGGAATGGTTAAAAATACAGTAGGTACTGGTGTCTGGTAGTTTGAGGGCTGAAACGTCAGGAAAATATCAATTCAATAAATCGGTGCCTTAATTGGTCAGGTGACCGCACCACCTGCAACCTGATGTCTTCGTTTCCTTTTGTTAGCTGTTTCATAAGGATTGTAACACTTCACCAACAATAGCATTTGGTCGGTACTTGTTTACATCCATTAGTCCCAAGACTACTTAAATAATGTATGGACGGACCAAGTAAGCGAAAAATCAACTAATTAGAAAGTCAGGTTCCCCCTCAAACAGCAATACGGAAATCATTGGTGTTTCGAACAACTAACAGAAAAACATCGGCGTCAAAGTGCAGCCCCTCGACCGCAATAAGTAAGCGCTGCCCTGTGTGGCCAGAGCCCAATGAAGTTCGAGCGCTGACTCCTAAATAGCCGTTTTCCTGTAACTCCATTTTATGAGCTAGCCAATAAAGCTACCGGTTTCTATGGGTGGCCAGCTGACTGAGTTGACCTGTCAGTCTCCCCTTCCGTATCCAGCTACCAATGCATGTTGGAAGTTTCGGCGGACTGTGGCAACGGCTCATAGATAGTGATCGATGTGAACCCAGAGGCTTTTCAATTGAAAATGACACTGAGGAACCTGAGTTAAGCCCCTCATTCCAATAATCAAAGCCTGTGGCTCAGAGTTGGTATCGAGCATCAAGCTTTGTGCGCGCCGGCGCTGTTGTGAAAGCCCGATGAGTTGCTCCAGCGCTGGATTTGGGCGAATCCTAACGGAGCTTATCGAAGGGTGAGAGCAGCCGTATCAGAAAGTCAACGAATGAGACAAGCTGCGTTCGCCCAGGTGCGCAATGCTAAGCCTTGCCTTTATACTTTTTAACTGCTCGGAAAAATCCCAGACTGTCAGAAGGTAGGTACTCTGCATTGCGAAACAAGCTTAACGAGGCGCTGGCTTGGACTGTTATCAATTTGTCCACTTCGAACGTTCGATCTAAAAAGACGATTTCTCTGTGACGTTTTTAGCTGGTGCAGGATTGCCGACCTTTACCAACTGCATGCCAGTATGTGTAGATTTTGGTATCATTTTCATGTCCAGTGTCAGTGTGTGCAAGTTTCAAGTAGTTACATTCGTCGGACAATTTTAGTATATAAATTACATAGTTTGATGCCTATTCAACACTCAATGCTACATCCAGCCGTCATTCGAATGCCGCCAAAAATATCGTTAATCGGCCCAAGACAAGCCACCAGAATATTTTTACTAACGGACACGGTCGCGGTCGGTGTGGATGTAAAAAGCAAGCTTACCAACGGGAATTGGTTTTAGGAAAATAAAATGTAAAGGTATATTTACGTGTGAGACATTCATACAAGCATATAAAGGCCGGCATTACTTTCTTATTCAACGCTATGTTCTTAGATCAATTATGAATGTCAACAATGATTGAATGCCTTTACAATGCATACCTATGCTCCACTTTAGCCAACTTTCCTACATGAATAGCACAATTAGTGCGAGACATACGCGACCTATCGGAATCGCTCTTTTATGCAGCGCCCACATACACACACAACCTATATTGGCGACAGAAATATAGGCACAATAACGAGCAAACTGTTCACCAAGCGTTACCGTTACCATAGCAACGGCGTGCGTGACGCGTGTGCACACATCAGTGTCAATGGTGCACAACAGCCGAATGGGCTGCCATCTCTAATGGGCAGCTGTGTCTATGGGGAACGATGGTGCATGCGTGAAAGGGCCTGGGCCGGCGATATTGAACGGGTATTGTCGCTAAGGTATTTACGTAACTAGGGCTTCACGGAAATGCGACAAGCTGATGCCCACGACATGGAATAGCAATACCGCTGCTGCTGCTTTGAATGTCCCACCTTGCATGCACTCAATGATTGTAAGAGTGGAGTAAATGTTACGATCTATCCATCGATATATCCCCATAGTACGATATTGCTGATCTTTCAAGTAGATCATGATCCTAATTGAAAGCAGCCTCGAATCTCTGTAAAAAGGGGTTAAAGACACATGCTTTCAGCATGCGGATAGTTATAACGGTTCTTAGTTATAGTTATAGACTATGTTATAGATAGTTATAGTTCCACATCCAGCCGTCGTAGGTAAACAGGGAAATTGAAAGGAGGAAATGTTCGGCTCAATGAAATCAACACTAAATAGTATTTGTCAGTGCCAACGAGATTAGCACCATTCACCAAATGTATTGTTCCTGTGTTTGTGATATACGGTGGACTATGCTTCAATTACAGTCATGCAATCAGTCATGCAGTATGCATTAACGATCACTCCATTCAACGATAAATACTTCCATACATTTATGAAA